ACGTTTTAGCGTTGCAGAGGGAAATAGCAAGCATTGACCGCAGGGCCGGTTCCGTCGAGCGCCGCCACGCCGCGGGCCTCAGAGACCTCCATGTAGTCCCACCTGCCCAGACAGTGGCCGATAACAGCCCCAGAAGCCAGAGTGGCGCCGCACGGTCCCTGCCGCGCCCCGCCGCGCAGCAGCCGCCCGCGAGTGCCCAGCCCGCCCCCGCAGCGCTTCCCGCGCCGCCGCCGTGTGGAAGCGCGATTTCCCGCGAACCCGGAGCCTGTGCGGACCTGTGAGGGCGCGTGCGGGAGGGGCCCGGGTGGTCAGGCAGGAAGGCGGAGTCCGCCGGGAAACGAAACCGAGAGCGAGCCGCCCGGGCTGGTCGGGCTTCCGCCGACAGCAGCGCGGCTGGTGAGCGACGAGGGGCCTCCAGCCGGCAGCCAGCGCGGCGCGCCCCAGCCTCGTCCGCAGCCCGGGACTGGACGCCGGAAAGAGGTCCCTGACGGCTGCGCAGCCGCATCCCGATCGCTGTCCGAGGCCCGCAGCCGAGATGCGGGGCCTTTCCCGGATCTAGAAAAAGGATCCTGCAGCGCGGTGAGAACTAAAAGCCATTTTCTTCCCGCGAAGAATTTTTAACCGAGCAGGTAATGACTGGCCCAGGCCCAAGTTAGGAGAGGAGTGGGGCGGGTAGTAGTGGAAAACGGAAAATGGCTTGACAGATGGGAAATACGGAGGCCTGAATTGCCCAAAAAATTGGCTAAATAATCCCCGGCCAATTTAAATTCTATTTCCTAGACAGTTGGCGGTTGTTTTCCAATTGCTCGTCGCTAAACCCCCGCCCAACTCTGTCCCCCACCCCCACCTCTTCCCAACACCGCAGCAGCACGAGGGATCCTGTAAGTCAGAACAGGACACTCCTCTATCCAGATCTCCCCACCTCATCAGAACCCTTCATGCAAGGCCCCTGCTCCTTACATTTTGACCACCCAGGCCTCTTTGCTGTTCTTGGGGCACAGTCAAGCACTGTTATTGCCTCTGGGCCTTTGCACTGCCTGTTTCTTCTTGGAAAGCTCTTTTCCTGGGTACTTGCATGGGCCAATCCCTGCTTTACCCTGCACTTCGTCTGATGTCACTTTGTCAGAGCAGCCTTCCCTGAATAACCTGCATGTAAAAGAAACCTCACCCTTCCCTCACTGTCCCCTGTTTTAGTTTTCAACATAATACTTATCCTGTGACATTTTTCACTGGTTTGTTCGTATTCCTCCACTAGTTAAGTTAACAAGAGTAGGGTTTTGTTCCCTAGTGTAAACTAGTATATAATAGGTATTCATTAAATCTTTGTTTAATGAGTGGTAATTCATACATTCTCTTGAATCCATTTCGGAATAATAAGACTTTCTATTGTCTGCCATTTCTTTACTACTAAAACACCTTGCTGAATGGAAGCTAAAAGATACACTCTCTGCTGGCATTTAGGAACTTAGAATCTTGGGCAGATTGGGTTCTTGTGTTTGCTTGTTTGAACCTGAGGACCCATAACACTGGATCTGTAGTTTATTTATTTAATTCATCAGATGCTAGTTGAATGCATGTTGTATGCCAAGCATTGTGCAGGCTCTGGAGGGGGCTAGGCTCACAAGGGCTCACAGTCTGCCCTAAGGAAATCAAGGCACAGCCAAAGTCACTTCTGGGCATGAGTAAGCTGGCTACATAATGTTTGTTAGTGATTATGATGGAGATTTCTTTTAGGAAAATGGTAACATAGTACTAAAATAAAATTTATTCAAAACAGTTGAAAAGAAACCTGCTATTTCTTTTTTCCATACTTGAAAGTGCTTTTTCAAACATGCCAGTTTAGCACCTTGTAAGTTGACACATATATTTCACTTAAATTCAAACTGGCTTGTCATTCTGAAGATCAGCAGTTACTTGGTTTTAAAAGTGCTGAAGATTTAGGGCATTTGATAGAATTTCAGGTTAAATAATCGCTAAGGACTCTTCTGTAACTGCTGTTCTGAGATCTATTACCTCCTCCAATTGGATGTATCGTCTCATGGTTGAGACTAAACTAAATGACACTTTGGTTCCTGAAAAAAATCGTACAGCTGCAGATCTTTATCTGAAACCCTTGGGCCAGGTATGTTCTGGGACTCAGAGATTTTTGGATTTTAGAAAGGCCAGACAGCATAAATCCTGTGTAGTAAGTAATGCTCTCAGTGGGGTTTGGGGCCAGCACTCCATTATAAAATGTGTTTCTGCAATAAAATGTGTAAGTAGACAACAGAATATGATTAAGACTCTACATAGCTCCTGTCAGTTCAGATCTAGGTCGGGGCTACACACCGACCAAAAACAGAACAAAAGAAAACAAAGTAAACCTCAGTTTTCAGTGCTTTTTGGATTTTGGAATTGTAGACCAGAAGTACCATTCATTGAGGGCCAGTGGTGTGAGAGACCCTGCTGGATGCTTTTTGTCCAATTTACTTCTTACAGCAACCTGTGAATCAGGTGTTTTCATTCCTGTTTTTGGATCACAAATCAAAGTTTCAGAGAGATGCTTAGCTCACTATGTGGCCCTGAAGCCTAGCTCCCTTCATACACTAAGTGGTGATGTGAGGGCGGCACCTTTCTCAGGTCTGAGCCCTTCTAGCCCCCTGCTTCCAGGCACCAGCATCGCTCATCCAAACCACTGCGGCAGCCTCCACTTGGTCTCCCAACTTCTACTCATGCTCCACTTGTCTTTTCTACACCCGCCGCCCATACTCTGTTCTTTACATCCCATCGGAGCAATTATTACAAACATAAGACCAATCATATCACCCCTCTACTAAGAACCCTCCAATAGCTTCCCATTGCAAGTAGAATAACACCCACAGTCCTGACCATGGCCTTCAAGGTCTGTGTGCTATGGCACCTGCCCACCTCTCTGACTCATTTCCCACTGTTTGCCCTCATTTACTGTGCAGCAGCCTTCTTGGCCTTTCTGTTATCCCCCCAGAAGCCACGCTGGGACCTGCCTGAGGGTTTCCTCTGCCTCAGATGTTCTTCCCCCATATCTCATTACAGGCTAGATTTAAATATTGCTTAAGAAGTGTTTCCTGTGCACTGTATCTAAAATCACCTCCCTCATGTCTCTGCCCCCACCTGCTAACACCCCTTCTATCTCATACCCCTATTTCATTTCATCGTAGTATTTCCAGCCATCTGGTCATCATATTATGCCCTCCTGTTATTGGTTTCTGGACTTGGTCATTTTCTTTTTTTCTTCAGTGAAATGGGGGTATGGACTTGATTTGTCTTGTTCACATCTGTACACCCAGTGGCAGAGCAGTGTCTGACACTTGCTAAGCATTTATTGCCTAAATGAAGAAAGGATGCATGGGAAACAGATGACAAAAAAGGAGAGGCGAGGAGGATTAAGTGGAGTAAGTGGAGAACTCAATTTTAATAAATCATTCTCTCATTTCCCTGTATACCATTCAAGTGAGTGTCAGTGATACAAAGATGAGTAAGACATAGAGCTGGCTCCCCAAAGAGCTTACTGATCAGTTTAAAAAGCAGTTGGGACTATGATGGGAGTTGGACCAGGTGGGTTGCAGGCCCATAGAGGGGTACTAGCTGCTCCCTCAGCATCAAAGAAGGATATATCGATCTTCACACATGAGTGGGAATTTCTGGGTAGACAGGGTGAGGATGTGGAGAAACTGGAACCCTTGTGCATTGCTGGTAGAAATAGAGTGGTGCAGCCACTGTGGAAAATAATCTGGCAATTCCCCAAAAAGTTAAACATAGAATTACCATATGATTCAGCAATCACCGTTATTCACAATAGCCAAAATGGTGAAATAACCCAAGTGTTCATCAACAGATGAATGGATTAACAAAATACGGCATATCCACACAGAGGAATATTATTCAGCCTTAAAAAGGGAAGGAAATTCTGACACGTGCTACAACACAGAGGAACACATTGAAGACACTGGGCAAAGTGAAATAACCAGACACAAAAGGACAAATATTGTATGATTCCACTTATATGAGGTACCTAGAATAGGCAGATTCAAGAAATAGAAACTAGAATGGTGGTAACCAGGGGCTGAGGGGGGAAGGGAAATGGGAAGTTATTGTTTAAAGGATACAGATTTTCTGTTTGGGGAGATGAGAAGAATTTTGGAGATGGATGGTGATGATGACCTTACAACATTTTGTGAAAATGCTATTGCCTATAAATTGTACAGTTAAAAAAAGGGTAAATTTTATGTTACATGCAAATGTATACTGCCTTGAATTGCACACTTAAAAATGGTAAAAAGGATCAATTTCATGCTATGTATATTTTACAACAATAAAAAAATTTTTTTAAATCATGATGAGTGGTGAGGATATAGCTCAAGTGGTAGAGTGCATGCTTAGCAAGCACTAGGTCCTGGGTTCAATCCCCAGTACCTCCACTGAAAAATAAATACATATATACTTACATACATATGTTCATACATAAATAAAGATAGCTAACATTTCCATCACTCCCCAAGAGGTAGGGAGATTTTTCATAGTATACATTTTGCACTTTTTGAATTTTAAACCACATGAATGTTACATAATGATTAGAAACAATTTTTACTAGTTGAATTATTTGATGTTTAGACTGCTTATAGAAAGCTATATATGCACAGCTTTGATTAACTAAAAATTAATTTAAAAGATTCCCCTGTTACATAAGAAATAAAAGAACAAATTGTGCAATAAATAAATAAACTAATCACTTCCTCCCTGCACTAAATAAATAAATAAATTAATAAACAATTAAAAATTTTTTTAAATTAAAAAAAGATAAACAACAAGTTTATACTGTATAGCACAGGGAACCATATTCAATATATTGCAGTAACTTACGGTTAAAGAATACAAAAACAAATATATGTATGTTCCTGTATGACTGAAGTATTGTGCTGTATACCAGAAATTGACAGAACATTGTAAACTGACTATACTTCAATTAAAAACAAATCATGATGGCTGCAACGTAGAGAAGGAATTGCAGTGGCTGTGAGGAGCTGGTTCTGAGGTTCTTGCAGCAGTCCAGGAGTGAGATGGTGATGGCTTGAACCAGGGTGGTGTCTACAGACATTGTTGAGAAGTGGAAGGATTTGGGGGGATGGGACTTAGGTATAGATCAGAAGGTAGGGAAAGGACATGTCAAGGATGCCTCCCAGACTCATGGCTTTCAGACATGGTGGACAGTGGAGTCATTTTCTGAGAAAGAAATCTCCAAACCAGCTTGAGGGAAGATTATAAATGCAATTTTGGATCTTTTGAGTTTGAAAGTCATTCAAGATGTCCAAGTGGAGAGATTCAATAGAGAGATCTGAAACTCAGAGAGAGATTCATAAATGATATATGAACTTTAGAGTTAATGACAAATAGATGATTGTTGAAATCATGGCCATGAGAGAAATCACCTTGAAGAGAAAGTATAGAATGAAGAGAATAGAGTCTTTGGACCAAGCTTTGGGGAAATCCAGCATTTAAAGGCTGTGAAGATTAAAGAGTGTTAGAAAGAAAGTGTGGCCATGAAAGAAGGAAAATCAAAAGAGCTTTCTAATAAGAAATGAGAGGTCAACAAGGTCGGCTTTCTGTCTCTATAGATTTACCTATTCTGGATATTTCACATAAATGGAATCATACAGTATGTGATCTTTTATGTTTGACTTCTTTCATTTAGCGTATTTTTGACATTTAGCTATATTGTAGCGTGTTTCAATACTTGCTTCTTTTAAGGCTGAATAAGATTCCATGTGTGCATATGTAATGTTTTGTTTATCCTTCATCAGTTGGTAAGTATTTGATTTGTTTCCACTTTTGGGCTGCTGTGAATAGGGCTGCTGTGAACACTCCTGTATAAGTATTTGAAAACCTGTTTTTCAGTTCTTTGGGTATACACCTAGGAGTGAACTTGCCGGATCATATGGTAATTCTAAATTTAACTTTTTGAAGAACAAAATTCTTTTCCATAGAGGCTGCTCTGCATCGCTTTACATTTCCGTCAGCACTGTGTGAGGTTTCCAATCTCTGTATCCTCACTAGCACATTTACTTTCTGTATTATTACTGTTACCAGCCTAGTGGGTGTGTAGTGTTATCTAGTTGTGGTTTTGATTTGCATTTCTCTAATGACTAATGATATTGAACATCTTTTTCATGCGGTTGTTGGCCATTTGTATGTCTTCTTTGGAGAAATGCCTGTTCAAGTCCTTTGCCTACTCTTTCACTGGGTTGACTCTTTGTTGTTGAGTTGTGAAAGTTCTTTATATACTCTGGATACTAGACCTTTATCAGATATGTTATTTATAAATATCCCTTTCTGTAGATTATCTTTTCATTTTCTTCATAGGGTCCTTTGATATACAAACATTTTTAGTTTTGATGAGGTCCCATTTATCAGTTTTCTTTTGTTGCTTATGCTTTTACTGTCATAGTTAAGATTTCATTGCCAAATCTAAGGTTGTGAAGGTTCACCCTTACGTTTTCTTTTAAATTTTTATAGCTTTGGCTCTTATATTTAGATTCTATATTCTTTAGATTTTGTTTATAATTTAAATCATTGCTACTATCTCAGTCCAGTGGGAACCATAAACTGGGGCCATAATTTGCCTGCCAGCTAAATTGTCCTAAAAGTGACTTCTGCAAATTTCAAAGGGGGGGATTGGGAGATTTCATAGGAGAATCCATACAGCTAAATCCTTCATGATTTCATAAACTCCACTTCATATATATATTCTCAACCTCTTTTTTCTGAACATAAAGAATTCTAATTCTACTCCTGCAGGGGAAGCAGAAAGCAAAGTTAAAGAGAAAGACCGCCTGCATTTTTTGGCCAGGTGAGTTTTGAAAGTAGAAAATTTTGGAGAAATTACATTGATTGTGTTGTCCATGAGAGAGAAAGAAAGATTTTATAAGAAAGTTTTCTCTGGATTTATGAGGGGCTGAGATGGTTCATATAAAGTAGGGTCATCTTACCCTGTTTAGTCTCTTAAACTGAATTGGGAAAATTAGGTTAAATATGTTCTGAGTGTATCACCTCTTTCAAACATCCTTTTTATTATAGTTTACTGGAGGAAGAAATGGCCAGTGGACGTTCACCGTGTTTCTACATAGAAGAACTTAATAGATACCAACAAAGGAACAATGCAGTACTTAGGTATTGTGAACTGTCTAGGACAGGACCTCCACATAACTCAAGGTAAATTGCTATTTAAAAAAAAAAAGGTATATCTCTAGAAAATACAAACTGGGAGAATGGCAACTCTGGCACAATTCTGAAGTCAATTATTTACCCTGAGAACAGAGTTGCTAGAGAGTACTCTGAGAGTCCTCTTGACGTAAAGTGGTAACTTCAGAGGACTCCAGAGGAAAAAGAGGGCATAAGCCTTTCCATGCTTCAAGGTGATATGTTACTTTGCTGCTTGGGGATGACTGCTTAAATTCTAAATGGAACATAGGCTAAACTTTTCAAAGGGAGTCATAGGAGGCAGTGGTGATTGTAACACTTGTTGTTCGATCATGCACGAGTTTTATAATATTTTGTGAACATTTTCTTTGTAATCAGGTTTACATATCAAGTTATAATAGATGAAAAGAAATTTCCAGAAGCTGAAGGTAGATCAAAGAAGGAAGCCAAAAATGCTGCAGCCAGATTAGCTTTTGAAATAATTAACAAAGAACACAAGGTGAGTAATTGCCTTTTTGTTTTTCCTGGTGAAAGGGAACTCACAAATATATTTTGTATTTTTCTCTCTGAGAAAATACTCACATACAGAACTGAAGCCATTTACAAGTTGTCTTGCTTTCGGACGTTTAGTTCAGTGTTTTTTGCTGGCTCCTGAATGAGAGGTACATGCGGAAAAGAGTGGGCAAAAGTGGACAATAGCTTTAGAGTGTCAATAGCATTGATGTACCCTAAGGAAACAGTGAAAAATGAACTAACATGTTCTGGCAGGAGCCCCTCCACCTAACTGAGGGAATGCAGTGGAAAAGGACAGAAATGGAAGTGACTGTGGGGAGAATGATGTATATGGAGGGCAGATATGAATATATCCCTGAAGATGAGACTAACTAGTACAGAAAAAGCTATCTGAAGAGATTTCGGTAGAAATATTTCTGAAATAAAGAAAGACCTGGCTGCAGATTTTTAAAACCCAGGAACTCAACAGATACAGAAAAATGCAGAACCACCAAGAGCAATTTTGACCCTTTTGAAAGCACCGAGTTCTAAGGATGAAGAAAGAATTTTACAGGTATCTGGACAGAAGAAATGATATAAAAATGTAAAAATGAAAAAACTATCATGCTGTCCATAGCAACATTAAAAACCAGAGTGAGAGTGAGCAGCAGCTGTAAAATGAGACAAGAAGTCATTTTACATGTGGAATAAAAGAGGATCATTCTCAGATTTTGAAAAGTTTGGAAAACTTTGGTATTCAAGATACTTTCCTAAAAAAATTAAAATTAAAAAATAATTTTAAAAAATCAAAAAATTTTTGAAAGATACTTTCCTAAAAAATCTTACTTGAAGATGTCACCCTCCTGATCAAAACTGAGAGAAAATAAATCAGGCAGAAATCACAAACTCATAAATTGTGAATGAGCCAGAAAAGCAAGTCAAGAAGTTAGAAAAAGAACAACAGACTACCTCCTCCTCCCCCAAAGCAGAAATAAGACAATGGTAACAATAAGGAGAGAGATTGATGTGAAAAAAAACAACAACAAAGAAATAATAAAGAAAATCAGCAAAAGCAAAAGTTAGTTCTTTGACAAGGTTAATAAAGTAGAAAAACTTTGGACAAGATTTTGTTGGATTAAGAATTTTAAAGGGGGCAGATAACAGTGGGGGGAATATGCTATTATGGTCATGTTTCCCATTAAGTTGTGATCCAGAATAAAGCTTTACTTCAGTATTTGATACCTTGTTCTTTGAGATTTACATTGGGTACAGCAAACTAGAAAGTGTTACAGAATTCCATCTGGATAAACAAGAACATTGACTCTTCTTTTTCCTTATGAAACTGTAAGAGGAAAAAAGGTGATTTCTTTTCTATTGGTAAAATTTGTCTTTGTGATTTTTTTCTGGCAGAGAAAGGTATATACTTACACTTTTATTAAGATACTATAGTCAGAAAATCTGTAAAATCTAAGTTGTCTTTCAAATTATTCATTTAGTAATTTCATTAGACAAAAAAAGAGAGAGTTAAATCCTGGTTGTCATCTGTAATAAACAAAACGTTATTTTCATTTTTTTCTTTGTAGACAATTAATCCTTCATCAACAAATCGTTCAGAAGGACCGCCCATCGAGAATTACATAGGCCGTGTTAATACAATTGCCCAGAAGAATAACCTATCTGTAAATTATGAAGAATGTGAGTCGAGGGAAGATGGGCCCGAAAGGTGAGATGTCGTGCTTTTCCTTCTGCTTCATTCTATCTAAGCAACGGAGCAGGCTTATTTTGATGTCTCATTTTCTAGAAAATATTTGTCCTTTTTGGTACATTCTACAAGGAAGGTTTTATTTATTGCTTATAAGCAATTGGACATCTTTGTCATTAAAACATTAAAATGCTTAATTGCTGAAGACTTGGGGCCCACATCCCATAACTGATCAAATCTAGGGAACCCTTTATTTCTGAGGTATATCTGGGTGGTTAGGTCCTCAGGAAACCTAAGAGAGGGTGGGATGCCCCTGCTCCAGGGCTGTGAAGGTCGTCCCATCCCTGAGGTCCCAGCAGCAGTGGCCGTGTGCAAACATATCTACCAGATGTGTGGAATAACAGTCTTTCCACTCTTGTCAGAGTAGAGAGCTGTTTGACCAGGTGTTTGCCCTTCAGATTTGATTAACCCTCTAGACAAGTACCATGTACTAGAAGGAATGGGTTTCGCCCTGGGCTGTGAAGAGACCAGGATGTGAGGGATGTGATGAGGGGGACAGGTGAGAGCGTCAGTCAGAGACACTGAGGACACCACTGGTGAGCTAAGACTTTGGAAGTGAGGATGATGAATGGATTGGAACTGGGAAAAGCAGAAAGTAAATAAGCATGAGGGAGATTGTTTCTCAGCTGCAACCAACCAGTTAAATGAGGGAGAAGGGGGAAAAAAGTCTAAATAGCAAATAGTTCAAACAACCACTTCAGGATATGGGCCTCTGAATTGACTCAGCTATTGACATTTTACTTTTCACCCTGACGGCTTTTAGGCCAGAACCAGAAAGAGAAGAATGTGATAGGATTCATTGGAGCGAAGTAGTCAAAAGTGAATTCTGTGAGTCAATCTCAGTAAATTAAGAGGTTATTTTATTTTCCCATAGCTCACCTGTCTGGTTCCTTTGAATTAAGGGCATTAACATTTGATTGTTAAAAGAGAGAAGTCTACTTAGGGCATGCCTGAGAAAAATGGGAGCTCTAGAAATAATCCAGTCACTCAGAACAGCTCCCTAATTTTCCTTTCAGAGCCTAGCGGGGAAGACTCACCCTGGAGCCTACCGCTATAGCAAATAATACTGCAGTAATTCTGTAGCACCACGTGGTAACACCATGATATATATTGCCATATCTGTTGCCACCTTTAATGTAGTTCTTAAATAATTGTTCTAGGTTCCTTGCCTAACCACAAATATCCTTACAGCTCTCATTAGAAGGGGGTCAACTTCAGCATGGGGCTTTTGTGGGGATTTTCTTAGGTTTTTGTGCACATGAGCAGGAGGCAGAAAATGCTAATGTTAGAGCTGAAGTTGGAGATGCTTTGCCCATCCCCTGTGAAACACAAAACACTGTAACATTGTTTCTCCTGCATAAGCTCCACTTCCTCTACTGGCTTTTTCTTCCCAGTTGAACATCTCTGAAAAATTCACTGGATCTCTCTTTTATTTCTCTACCTCCATATCTTTTGACTTTGGGGGAATTTAAAAAAATCACCACTTGGTACCTTAATGCCATATCTTTCAGTGACGCAACAAAGAGTTAGAAGTTACCTAGAAAATGTAAGCTGAGACGTCAGCCAATCCTGGTTATTCTGGCAAACTGGTTGGCCATCTCATTGGAGATTTAAATGAAAGAAGATATGAGCTATGAATCTACCTATTAAATTAGTGTTATGTTTAGGCCTTTGTCACTGTGTGGTTTTTTTCCAACTCTTAAGTTAGAGTTAGTTTTTTGGTATTTGGGTTTATACTCTTTATGATTTCTCCTAGATTTCATTATAAATGCAAAATTGGACAAAACGAATATGGTATTGGTGTAGGTTCCACTAAACAGGATGCAAAACAATTGGCTGCTAAACTGGCTTATGATCAGATACAATCAGAAGGCCTAATGGTACGTACTGCCTTTGGATTTAATTTTTATATTTTAAAATTCTCTCTGAAGTTGATTTGTGGTTAGACACTGTTTGAATGATGCCAAGACAGCCAATCACAGATTCCTCCATTCTGTGTCCCACCAATGAGCTATGAACCACGGGGCCATGAGGCCCCGGAGGGATCACAGTTCTGTTGACAACTCAAGGTTGTTTTTTAGTTAGTTTGTTTATTTTTGGTTTTCTAGGGGGAGAGGTAATTAGGTTTATTTATTTTTATTTTTTAACAGGGGTACAAGAGATTGAACCCAGGACCTCGTGCATGCTAAGTATGCACTCTACCACTGAGCTATATTCTACCCCTAGGGTTGTTTTTTTTTTAAATCCAGATCAAACATTCCATTAAAAAATGTATTAATCTCGTAATTGTTTATGGCTGTGAATTTGGTAAATGTGGGGAAAATAGATGGTATTTAGTTCAGAGAGACTGAGCTGCTATGGAGAAGTAACTGAGTTGCACTTAATCTTTCAGAAAGCTGATTCGCCATCCTCCGGTTCTTTCCATACTCTGCCTGGTGATACCAAAAGCAGCTCTTCGGCAACAAGCACATCGTAAGTGTGGACAAATAACTGTGTTCTTTTACAAATTCAAATTGTGGCCTGAAAGTAAAAATTTTTGTGAAAACGTTTAATGTTAATGGAGAATTTAGATAAAGCAATTACTGATCAACCAAAACCAGGCAGAATTCATAAACTAATAGTTGTCTCCTTTTCTTCTAGACCTTCAGAATCAACATCTGAAGATGGATCTGAAAGAAACGATGACAGTGACAGAGTAAACCGTTCTTTCCTATCTCCATTGGTATAGTATTAGTCTCTAAGCTTCCTAGTTAATCTTATCTTCCTATGTGTTTCCTCATTTAAAAATGACTGCCAGTACCCAATCATAATTTTTCTATTTTTTTCTCATGTATTCTTACTAAAGCATAATATTTGGCTACCTTTTCACTATCTGCTTTCTTTATTAACTCCTATTCCTCAAATGCAAAATTTTTCTGCTCTTCTCTCCCATCTTTCTCTCCCTGCTCACCTTTGTATTTTCGTATATTCCTATGATCTGGCTTCTGCCCTTTTATCAATTGGACAGTACTTGGGGGAGGGGGAGTGTATAGCTCAGTGGTAGAGTGCCTGCTTAGCATGCATAAGGTTCTGGGTTCAATCCCCAGTACCTCCATTAAAAAATAAATAAATAAAAACCTAATTATCCCCAAAACAAAAACAAAACAAAACAAAAAAATTGGAGAGTACTTGAAAGGTTCATTAACAGAATTCTGCTTCTGTTTAAAAAAAAAGAGAACTAAACTTAAAAACTAAACTTAAAAATCAGATAATTTTTGTGGTGATGATTAGTGTTACCAAAGTATCTTATTTATAAAGAACTACAAACAAATCAATAAGACAGAGACAAGCAACTCAATAGAAACATGTCCAAAAGATCTGAACAGGCCATTCAGAGAAGAGATACCCAAAAGGAAAACAAATACATGAAAAGATGTTTTACTTCATAGTAATCAGGAAAATGCAAACCAAAACAACAGTTAGATATCATTTTAAACCCATCTGATTGGCAGAATTTGAGTCTGACAGTGCTAAGTGTTGGCACAGGTATGTTCCAGTAATAACTATTATATGCTGCTGGTGGATGTATAAATTGATACACCCCTTTTAGAGGACAATTTGGCAATGTGGCAATATGTATTAGAGTTGAGGGTGTGCTGGCCGTACCATTAAGCAGTTTCATTCCTTGGTATGTCTTCTAGAGAAAGACATGTATGTGTACACAGAGAAAACATGTGTAACTGTTCTTCGCAACATGTTTTTAATAGGAAGAGGTTGGAAAAAATATTGTCAATTAACAGAATGTCTAAATTAATCATAAAAAGACATAAAATCATAAAAGTTTGGAGAGGGGAGCAAGAAAATATAGATTTTTTTTTCTCTTTTATGATTTTGATGTCTTTTTTTTTTTTTACATCTTCATGTTTATTCTCTCGCAAATCATTGTAGTTATCACATTTCCAGTTATGGTTTTTCTCATTTCTGTAGCTTCCTGCTTCATTTCTATTTAGAGTAGACCTTTCAATATTTCTTTTAGGATAGGTTTAATATTGCTGAATTCTTTAGTTTTTGCTTGTCTGTGAAATTCTTTATCTCTCCTTCTGCTCTAAAGGATAGTCTTGCTGGATAGAGTATCCTGGGTTGCAGGACTTTTTTTTTTCTCATTCAGCACTTTGAATATATCTTGCCAATCCCTTTTGGCCTGCAGTGTTTGTGTAGAGAAATCAGCTGAAAGCCTTCTGGGGGTTCTCTTATAACTAACTCTTTGTTTTTCTCTTGCTGCCTTTAGAATCATTTCTTTATCTTTAACTTTAGTCATCTTAATTATAATACGTCTTGGTGGAGGTCTGTTTAGATTCTTCTTGTTTGGGACCCTCTGTGCTTCCTGTACTTGGATATCTGTTTCCTTCTTTATGTTTGGAAAGTTTTCAGTCATGATTTCTTCAAATACCTTTTCAATCCCCTTTTCTCTTTCTTCTCCTTCTGGAACCCCTATTATGCATAGATTGGCACGCTTCATATTATCCCATAGATCCCTTGTATTGCTTTCATTGGTTTTTGCTTGCTTTTCTGCCTGCTATTCTGATTAGGTGACTTCTGTTATTCTGTCTTCTAACTCACTATTTGTTCCTCTGCATTATCTGGTCTGCTTTTGACTGCCTTTAGCTTGGCTCTTATCTCAGCCATTGAGCTTTCTGTTTTTAACTGGCTCCTCTTTATAGTTCTGCTTCCTTTTTACAAAATTCTCTGTCTCTATTCGTAATCTTATTTCCTTCAGTGCTTTTATCACCCCTTTTTTGAAGTCATGATCTAGTAGACCGTCGAAATCTGTCTCATTGTTCATTCTTTCAGGGGATTTCACTTGTTCTTTTAATTGGGAGTGGTTCCTCTGCTTCTTCATTTACTTTTATTTCTCTGGCTCTATGGATTTAGAGTATCAGTTATCTACTGTGGTCTTGAAGGGCTGTTTTTTGTTTGTTTGTTTCTATTTAAGGTAGGAGCATTCCTGTGTAGACTGTATGCATCTAATAGTTTTGTTGTGATGGCTGTTCTTAGTATGGATGGTTGCCATGTCTTTCTTCCATGTGTGTTGCCTGTTATCCCTTTGATTGGGGATGTGGTTGGTGGTGTGATCAGAGCCTGCCTTGATTGTTGTTGTTGAGTGGGGCCTTCTTTTTCATTCTGTGGTTGTCATAGCCCTGACAGGGGCCGAGTCTGCTCCTCTGTTGCTGGAATAGAGGCTTCTAGACTGGTTTCTGAGCTGTGGTGTGTGGTAGTCAGGGTTGGAGTGCTTCAGCTGGGAAGGAGTTGCTGAATCTCCTCAGGCGATGTCCACTGGGAAGTGCCCTCTGTGGTGTTGTCTATCACTTGTTATGCAGGCTTAGAAAGTACTCTTTGTTGATGCTGCCTTTGTCCGCACCTTAGCTGTAGGAATGTTGGCCACCCACTCTGGTGTCCCCCAGGTTCTGGGCCCCAGGAGTCACCAGCACAAATCTGCCAGTGTCAGGCGCAAGGACCCACCATAGCGAGTGTGCAGTCACACACGTGAATCTGTGGTGAGCCACAGGGTCAGCGCAGACCCCAACCCCACCTCAGCATACGGTATAGTCCACTGGCCTATTGTAAATACATCTACTCACCCCTGCCATGTGCCAGAACTCCACTCACTGCCTGTTTGTCCCAGAGGCGAGGGTCCACAAGGGGTCCAGAGAGAGCAAATCCACCCTTTCTGCCTGGGGCTGTATCTCAGTCCTGCCTGTGAAGTTGCAGGGCCATAGGAAGTTGCAGGGCCGCTGGGTGTGGATTCAGCTTTCAGCCCCGCTGTCGCACCAAGCCCCACCTCTCTTCTCGCGAGAACACACAAACAATGGAGCCAATTGGAGAAAGCAGCTGTGGCGTGGCTGCGTTGTGCCCCTCCTCACTGTACACACCAGCAGTGGTGCCTTTTTATGGGGGTCCCAGGCTGTTCTGTTCTGCATACTCCACCAGCCAGAGCTCACACTGCCCTCCGGCCCCCTGAGGCTGCCTCTGTGCAGTGGGCCCCAGCCCTCTTCCAGGGCTCCTCACTGATCTCCAGCAGCCAGTCCCACTCGTCCCTGCCAGCTGGTGTCTAGGCCGGGGATTGCAGGGATCCTCTGTGCCAGTTCCATCTGCCAAGCAGCTGCCACTTTCTCCTCCGAGCCTCGGAAGCTCCGCTTCTGTCCCCGCTGACCTCGTGGCTGGATAGGGGGCATCCCATCGTTGAGTGTACTTTTCTTCCTTTGTCGCTCCCTCCCTGGAGAACCGATCCTGCACTGATTTTTTTTTTCTTTTTCTTTTTTTCTCTTACTGGATTTTGTGAGAATCCTCCTGTATTTTGAAGCGAGAGATACTCTGCCAGAGTTTAGTAGGTGTTCTGTGCAATTCATAGGGTTTGTAGGTGTAATTCTGGGTGTATTTATGGGAGAGGGTGAGCTGTGAGTCTCCACTCTGTCATCTTGGCACCTTTCCCACTGAAATTAATTTTTGAGAGATATATCAAAGACTCTTCTCTTTTTGGCTAAATATTAAAATTAAATTATTAATTTGCCCTAAAAGTGAAAATATTTTATACTGGATGCCTGGGCTCTTTATTAGTGAATGACTGTGATACACACCATCTTGCTGAGATTCACTGGCCAGAGGATCACCAGGGAGGCTGTGTTCTATACCTGGAGAATCAGCACTTCTGTAGCACATGCCCTACAGTTTGTCTTTTTTGTCCTTCCTGCTGAGTCTGTCTGGTTAGCTGAGAACATTGATAATAGCCAAGTACACTGAAAATCAGGGCTTGGTGAGAGCATACAGATTGATGAAGCTGTTTAAGGACAAAGGAATGTGGTCGTAGAACCATCTAGAAGTACAGGAGAAAGGGTGGCAAGAAAAAACAAGATAATTGACTTAATCACCTGAAACCACTTCCCATTTTCTTTTCTTTTTTTTTCAAATGGAAATACAAAGGATTTTATTAGGGCACACTGTCATAGACAACAGTGGGTCACACAGGCAAGGGACACCTGCATGAGCACCAAGGGCCAGTTGTTGGGGTGTTCTATAAAGTAGGGTCACAAGGTACCCGATTGGCTTGTGCACAAGCCTCTGATTGGTTGCAGGTGAGCTAAGAAGTTTAGAGTCCATGAAGGGCGGTGGGGTTTGACTCTAAGGTAGGCATTACCTGGGGCTATTAGTTTGTTAGGGGAAACATGCCCAGTAAAGAATGTCAGACACCTGAGAGCCGAGGAATGGGGGGTTGTTGGACTTTGGAGGACGTTGGTTGGCCCAACATTCTCCCTCATTTTCTTTTGTTTTAGAACCATTTCAGAAATAATTCCAGGAAGGTGCAAAGGTGAGTATCATGCATTTAACACGTTTGGAAATGAAATTTTATCTCAGACTTAGTGTGTTAATCTTATTACGTCTTCAGCACTTGTAGAGTATTGGACACCTTTATTTAAGTGGAATTTCAGGAGTAGAAAACATGGTTAAGGTGCATAGAAATTTTGAAATCTACAAATAATTTTAACTACGTAGAGAAATCTTTGAACAAGTACATAGTCATAAAGACCTGTGGGTGTATTGGTAGAGTAGTTGGTTGGGGCATGACGTTGGACAACAGTGACAGGGAAGTGGGCTTGGAGAGGTGTTTTCAAGAGTAGTGCATTATTTGTAGACAAGCAGATAGAGTAGAAATGAGGCACCAGTGTATTCTGAACAGTAGCTGACTTTTACAGAAAGATGATTACTGATGCAGGTGTTTGGATGGAAAAGGGAGAGGTCTGTGTGTGAGATGATTAGGCCGTCATCTGTGGTTCCAGTGGCAGGAGGAGGGAGGGGGAGACTTTGTGAGGCAGATTGTGAAGGAAAAGTAGACTGACTTGAGGGAATAGACTTAACAGAACTGGGTGAAGAAGATGCACAGGAAGAAGGACTTGAAGATTGCTCCTTGTGGATGAGATGCAGGCATGCATGACGGCACTGGTGATGTTGAGGGAGTTGAAGACTGACGGCTTAGAGGGAAGATAGCAATTGGATTTGTTTCATTTTAGGTGGCATGTGGACTTCCAGTTGCAGGGGGCTTTGCACCAGCAAGGAATAAAGGACAAAGGAAACACAACCAGAGTGAGAGTTCAAGGAGATATATTTCCTGGGGTTTTGAGCCTAGGGGAAGAAAAGGAGAGGCTAGTGGCATGCTGACAATGAATGTGTTAAGGCCAAAAAAGGAACCAGGGAAGGAATGAAAAATTATTAGAGGGCAGAGAACCATAAGTGTATCGTTTTTAAAGAAAAAGGTTAGCATTTACTACCCTGTTATTCTAATAGTTGACTCAAAATACAAAAAGCCTAGTGCATGGCATAAAACCTACTCTAAACAAGTTACATTGGATTTCATTTTTGAGTTTTATGTACTTCTCTTAACTTTTAGATTCTTGGCACCTACGTTTGACTCTCCTGTGAAAAAGGAAGAAAACCAATATAGTATGGACCCCAGGTAAGAGGGGAAAACTATAAAAAAGAATTTGTTAAGGATACGTTTGCTTCTTTGACGAAAGTTTCTTAAAGGTCTGTTGAACATCAGGCAGGCAAAATTATATTTCTACCTGAACAGTTTAATTATTTTAGCACAGTCAGGCCCACAGACGATCTTGATCTCTTAGAGGAGTACAGTTTTGATGAATTCAAATGGAATGTGATAAGTATAGATCTGTGTAATACTCATGTGGATTTCTCTGACATCTATGAATGGTTTTAATATTGAAAGAAAATATTCCTATAAACCAGTGATTTTTTTTTCAACAAAAGTACCTCTGCAGGCATCACAGTCAATCCACTTGCATCTGTTTTCCATTTTCTAGCTCCATACCAGGTATCACTTTGAAAAAGGGTTCCTCTTGTGGTAGATTACGTGTTTGGGCTTAAATATCTGAAGCAAAGGAGGCTTATTTGCAACAGAGGGACAGTGAAAATAAGCTTAAAAAAATGAAGAGTCAACAAATATTTAATAAGTACCTGATATATAACTGGCACTGTGCTGGGCGTTGGATTTATGGCAAGAACAAATAGAAACAGCTCCTGCGCTCATTGAGTTTTGTGGGGATGATAATTACATGAAAAAGTCTGTAATTATAAACTGTGGTCAGAGGTCTGAAGAAAAAGCAATGACATGGTTAGAAATGAAAACAGGACCCTTGGATTTAGAGGGAGAAGTGAGGCAAGGCCTTCTCTGGGGTCACATTTGTGGGGAGCCCTGAGGGATGAGTTAACTCAGGGTAGTGGGGAGGCCCCATGGCTCTGCTAAAGAAGGTGGGAAAGGTGATGTAAGAGTGCAGAGAGCAGAGAGAAGGCCATGTGCTGGGAGGAGTGAGCAAAGGCCATCAGACAAGCTGGACAGGGAGGCAGGGCCAAATCAGGGGGCCCCTTGTAGCCCATGGAAGGGCTTTCTGATTTTTGCTGGGTGTGAGGGTAGGCTATGGGAGGGTTTGGACAATAGACAGACTTGATCAGACTTAGTATTTATCACACTGGTTGCTGTGTGGACCATGGATTGGAGTGGAGGAAGGAGAGGAAATGGGGTGTCCAGTGAATAAGGTTCTGCAGGAGTCTGATGGAAGCCTGGACTGGTGGGAAGCTGTTGGAGATGGGGAAAGTGGGCAGATACCAGCAGATGTGTTTTGGAAGGAGAATTGGCAGGGCTTAGTGATGGAATCTGGAGCAGGAGGGAGAGGGGAAACCCAGGGAGTTACAAACTTAGGCAGGCTCAGAGCACATGCTCATTTCCCTTATCACAGCTGGTAGCCAGGGAACAGTGTGATGCCGCTTTCTAAAGTTTTATACTTGGGATAAGATTCTTCGCCATGGCTTTTGTACAACCAGGAGGTGATTAACTCTGAAGAGTGATCTGTTATGTTAGGTTGGGGAGTGGGAAGAGCTATCCTTTGTGATTTAAGAGTTTCTGTGAAGCAGACCCTTCTTATGCAGAAGGGGAGAGTCCTGTTTGTAACAGTCCGTTTCGCTAGCCACATTAAAAGAAAGCAGAAGGCTGGGGTTGGGTCGGGGAGCAGCAAACACTGAACCTCAGAATAACAGTAGCATTTATTTTTAAGGTTTGTCAGCGATTTTACAGAAGTAGAACCAATTGGCTCAGGTGGATTTGGCCAAGTTTTCAAAGCAAAACACAGAATTGATAAGAAGACGTATGTTATTAAACGTGTTAAATATGATAGCGAGTAAGTAGTAAATATTTTATTATTTTGAATGGGAAGGTATGTTGAACATGCACTATTCTTTTTTATATATCTCTCTTCTTCATTAGCATATCATTTACTTTTTTCTAGTCCTCCTTAAAGATGTCATTCTGCCATCAGGAGCTTGGCATACTCTGAAATGATCTTACTTTACCACGGTTATTCAATTAAAAAAATGGATATACCATTCATTATCCTTTTGAGGCTGTCTTGATGAAAACTGTAGCCATAAAATCATTTAACTTAAGATGATCTTTGAGATTTTCTAGTCTCATCTCCTTATCTTATAGATGAGGAGCCTGAGATCCAAAGATGTGAAATGATTTATCAGAGGTAAAGCCTAGTTGGTAATGTTCGGATTGTCTGTTATTGCATAATACACCACTCCAAAATGTAGTGGCTTAAAAACACTGAGTTATTGCTATCTCCCACCGTCCTATGGGTTGATTGTGCTCATCTGGGCCATTCTTCATGCATTTGCAGTCAGGAATCATCTGAGAGCTTGACTAGGCTGGACATCCAAGATGGCGCTCTCACATGACCAGCAGTTGATGCTGGCTGCAGGCTGCAAGTTCAGTTAGGACTATTAACTAGAGCGCCTCCATGTGGCCCCTTTATGTGGTCTAGGTGTCTCACAACCTAGTGGCTGGGTTCTAAAGACTGTCCCAGAGCAAGTCATCTCAGGGGGGGAGCAGCAAAGGCTACTTTTGACGTAGTCTTCGAAGTTCCACATTATATGGGTTAGACAAAGTCACTAAGGCCAGCTTAGATTCGAGGGGAGGGCAAATAGACTCTACGTCTTAATCTGAGGAGTGGATGTGTGTATGGGGAGAGAAGGAATTAATGACAACCATTTTTGGACACTATCTACTATGTTAACAAGGTGGATATTCAGTATCATCCTCTGGAATACCAATCTACTGTCTTCCCACTATAACCCATTACTTCCCATGTTCATTTTATGTATTATCTGTACCCTGCCCTGCCCTCAATGTTGCCCCCTAATTACTGGATAGCAGAACTCTTCAGGAAAGGACACTTATAGGAAGGAGGCCTTAAGTCACATGTTCACTAGTTCACCAGTCTTACTTGTTGTTTTCTGGCAGTTGTTACTGTTCGTATCGTGGCCAGACTGATCTTTCAAGGACTAGAGGAGGAGGTGGAAAAGGGATATAGGCTAAGGAAAATGACTTGAGCACAGGAGAAGCAGCATGGAGTCCTAGGTGCTCGGTCTCCAGTCAGACCAGCCTGTCTTCTGTCCCGTGGGCAATGCCTTGCTGCTGAAACACCTTCATACTCAGCATCAAAAGAAGGCTTTTTCCTTCTTCATTGCTTTGCTTAACAGGAATGAAATACTGTTGTTCCTTCCATCCCGTAACACCTTTTTTTTAATGGTAATACTTAATAAAGGTACAGTATCTTGAACATTTCTAGTGGCTTCATAAATCGGTACAACACCATTAAAAATACACTTAGAGATGTTAATCTAGACCCATAAAAACGTTGATATGCTTTGACCCATGGGTTTCCTATGTGGGAAACTATTCTAAGGATATTACCCAGATTCTGGAAAAAACTCTAAGAGAAGATATAAATCACAGTGTCTTTTCTAACAGCGAAAAATTAGAACAAACAAAATGTTCATCAATAAATGATTTAAGTGCGTTTTGTTCTCTCCCCTGATCAGTGGCTATTTTGCAGTCATTAAACATGAGGATTATACACTGTGAATATTTATACATGAAATGATACGATGCTGGAAGTTATTTCAGAATAATCCAGGGGAAGATGAGGAAGTGGGTAACAGTATAAATGAAACTAGATGGCTAGGAGTTAATAACTGGTCCATCTGATGAAACAGCAGTATGGGTCCATTCTACTATTTGCTCTGCCTTTTTATTTTTTTTTTCAGCATAGATTTATTTCCCTTTTTTTAAAATTTTTTTAACATTTTTTATTGATTTATAATCATTTTACAATGTTGTGTCAAATTGCTCTGCCTTTTTATACTTTTGAAATCTTACATTAAAAAATTCATAGATGATGGTTATACAGATTGTGCAATAACAAGGAAAATTGTAAAGATCATGTTATGTGGAAAAAATAGGATAAAAATTATATACTATAATTACAAATATATAAAAATGTATCTGAAGAAAGCTTATAAGAAATAATCTAAAATAATAACTATTTGTGTTAGGACTGTTGATATGAGTTATTTTTAAAATTTATTTTTATAAATTTTATGTCATATAGAACTTTTCAAATTAAAAAAGAAATTATAAAATGTTTGCTTATCCTTTCTCATCCTTGAAGTCTCAGATTTATTTACTCCATTTAGCATAGAATTGTCACAGCTCTGAACTACACATCCCTGTAAAGCTCCCATGCTGTGCAGTGAAATTTCAGTTTCTCTGCATAGATTACCCTCTTTGTATAATTTTGCCACACACTGAAAATTCTGAATTAGGTTCTTCATGTTGCTTGGGTTACCCACCCTTGCTGCCCAAATGGGGTTTGCTTATGAAATTGGAAGTGGTTTTAACACAAATCCAAACAAACCACAATGGATGAGTTAGCACTGAAAAAAAAAATTGCATCACTGTCAGTTCAAAGACTACTACAAATGACTTTTAAATTGTTTGATGTTTGGAATAATTTAAGCTACTGTTATTTTCTTTTATGTTGAAAGTGAGAACAGCTCTGTTTTTTCTGTGTGTTCATTTTTTCTTTTTGACTGTTTCTGGCTTCCATTCTGAAATTCAGTGTGGGAACCATGGCAACTATTTAGTAAGGGAGTGGAGGTAGCTGTCTCCTGTTGCTTGAGGTGTTTTGCTGTTGTGATCAGGGATGGATACTGATGCTTTTATGTTTCCTGTTTTTTTTTTAAACTAGGAAGGTAGAGCGTGAAGTGAAAGCTTTGGCAACACTTAATCACGTAAATATTGTTCACTACCACAGTTGTTGGGATGGCTATGATTATGATCCTGAGAAAAGCATAAATACTTCAAGGTAACTAAAAACAAATTCAAATAAATAAACTAATAAGTAATTAAATGGGAAAAATTAAGAAAAAAAATAAATAAAAAGAAATTCTCATAGCCATAATAGGATGAAGGAAACTCATTTACTATCTGTGGGCCACCAAATGAGACCATTAATTATTACATTTAATAATAACTAGAAACACCTTGCATTACTCATGTTTTTTCCTCAGGTAAGCCACTGCAAAAGGACGGAGGGATTTTAAAGACCTGGCACCTCACTTTGAAAGTCACCCAGTGTTTCCTGGGGACAGTCCTTTCCGTGCAGTCCTGAGGCCACTGTGGGCCTGTCCATTCACCATCTCCTGAGTCCTGACTCCAACCCCATCTCCACCCAGTGTAACAGCGTCAGCTTTAGGAGTACCATCAGCATATGGACTTCTTCAGCTTTCTGCAAATTCCTGGCTCCCTTTTTTCTATTTTCTAGCCAACATGTGCTCAAAGAATTTAAATTAATATTGAGGCCAGCTTAGTTCAGAAAAAAAATGCAACCACCATGGTTAGCAGAATCAGTCCTCCCTGTTAGACCACATAGCAGTTTGTCGGCACTTCTCTTGGGGTTCCTATCCTTGTACTATTGTTTTAGGTTTGTTTTTCCTTTATCTCTCTCCTGTTAAACTATATATAATCCTCATGACAGCAAGGATAGTATCTAATTCATTTTCTTATCATTAGGTGCCTATTCTGTGGCTTTCACAAAATAGATACTCAGTAAAGCTATGGTCAATTAAAATGTTTTAAAATTACTGTATACAATAATGAAATTCGGTTTTCTGCAATTCCATTGTATTTATACTCCTGTTCCCATTAGCAAAGATAATCAAGGACCTTTGGCATTAAATAATGGGTAGGCTCTTACTTTATAACCTAGCTAAATGAATAAAGCTTTGGATAACTTAAGGTTTAAATAAAAAATGGTCTATTATGTTTTGATTCAAGTTTATTATCTTTAGATTTCTGTTGTGAGACGTTTTGGCATTTTTAAGAAGGTGTAATTTTTTAATGTATTTTTAAGTGTATTTTTTATAAATTTATTTATATTGCTACTTCTAACATAATGTGAATTTTATACCCAGATCAAAGACTAGGTGCCTTTTCATCCAAATGGAATACTGTGATAAAGGGACATTGGAGCAATGGATTGACAGTAGAAGAGGCAAGAAACCAAACAAACGTTTGGCTTTGGAATTCTTTGAAAAAATAACAGCAGGAGTGCACTATATACATTCAAATCAGTTAATTCATAGAGACCTTAAGGTAAGTGGAAAATGTGCTTTGTTAGAAATTGATAAATATAATTTATTAATTTAGAAATCTGATTTTAGAATCAATAGTCATGAGGAAGTAACATGTCTGATCCTCTAAGGTTAGGATGTATCTACAACCTGCCCCAGATGCCAGTCTGCAGAACCACTCAGAAAATCTCCAGGGCTAAGTGAACTGTGAGATCCTGAGTGCTGTAGGAAGCAGCTCATTCACTTCTGGTCCTGTTTGTCATGCTGGCCGATAGTCACGCCCCAGTTGTAAACACTAACAGCTTTAGTACATGGAACATTTCCATGCGGATAATTATTATGGCTGACACAGCCAGTTGGCCACTCTGTCTCTGCCTCTACTGCCACTCAGGCTTGTCTGAGAGGCAGAAGGGGTGCTAGTGACTGGGGTTTTGGGAACATGTTTCTCTTAATCTTTCAGTCATTACTCTTGAGAGCAGTCATTACTGGGTCCAGAGTCTAGAATTTTTTGGCATTTGGTTAGACATCTCTGCCCCATGATGGGAAAATTGCGATAATCCAGACTTTGGAACACGGAGCATAGCTTCATATTTTCATTTTCTTCTGGTTCCCAGCTTCTTCCGTGGTCTGGAAGAGCAGTTTTCCCATTTCCTCCTCAGAATGAAAGGAGAGAGACAGAAGAGCTCTCCAGTCTGTCCTCCACGCCCCACTCCCTGTGACTTGCCTTCTCTCGTTACAAACTGGCCAAGCTGAATCCTGTCACCAAACCTGTGCCCCTGTTCTTGCGTGGGACACTCTTCTGCCTGTCCCCTCTGGTCCCGAATTCTTTATGTGTCTTTCCTGATCACTCTGGATCAGCTAGGAGCACTTTGTCTGAATGGACCTTGGCTGTCTGCTTACCCTACCTTTCTAAAACAGCCAGGATTGAGAAACAAACAAAAAGTTCTTTGAGAAAAACAGGCACCCCTGTACATGGTTGTTTATTGTTCCTACGTAGGAAAAAATGGCCCTTGAGAGGTATCACATCCTTGGTCTGTCTAGGGGCTAGACGTCTTGATGCCTTCATGTTGGAGTCCACCTGGTTCCAATATCTCTTTTTAACAGTATCTGAAGGTGTTCTTTGAAGTTGGAATGATGAAAGGACTATGCTCAAAATGGCATACTTAGAATGACCGTACCTTCACTTTGAAATAATTCAAATATAGAGTTAAAGAAGAAATAAGGCACAATTATCTATTTATACAATCATTTGCAAATAAATTATCTATTTACACAATCATCTCCTCTGCTTATGCAGAGGTTTGGGTATGACCTCCCAGGTCCTCCTCAGGATGAGTTAGTGAAGTTCTAATAGGTGTGGAGGGGACACCCTTCTCCCACCGCCTGGTCGGCCAGCTCCCTCCCGTATCCCGAGTCTTCTGTGTCTGTTTGCAGATAATGTTTGCTCTATGTCTGCTGGTGCTCGGAGGTCACACTTTAATACAACTGAGCCTTTTTTTCATCTTCTACAACTTTTCTAGCTTCACTGTTACAGTTACTACTTTCTCATATCTGAGGGAAGATACAAGCAAAGCCACACACTTTATTTCATGGTGCTTTGGCAGAGAACGGTCTGCCAAATCAACCACCATTTACTGCTTTCTGTCAGAGTCTTAAGAACTAGACCAAAGATGCTGGTGAGGAATACAGAGGTTTCTGAAGTGAGGGCTTACTGTCTGAGGAAGTGCAGTCCCCCAAGGCCCAGGCTCCTTGGTCAGCCTCTGCCCGGGCATTAGCCATTATTCCTGTACTTCCTGTATAAAGTTTGCACTCTTTTTTAAGCTCTACCACCCAACATTTTGCCTAATGACACCTTAACTGATTAGACAAAATACGACATCACTGTTTTCCTTTTCCTTTTTAATGACGATAAACAAGCAAGCTAATGTTTTTACCAGACAGTCCTGTCCATCTTATATGTTTAGACAGTATTGTAAGTGCAACCTCTGTTTCTCAGCGTCAGCTTGTAACCTTGTGTGCACTTGCAAACCAGACAGATTCCTACACTGTGACGTGAATACTGCAGAGGCACGGTTTCTCTCCACCCCACACCCCGCAACAGCTTTCCATCTATCTGTGTTACTGGCAGTTGGTTCCAGTCTAACCGTCGGTTCTGATTGAACTGCTGATTTCTCCATGGGGTGGTTCTTGCAAGCTCCTCGTTCAGCCTGCTTCGGCTTATAGTCTCTTCTCTTTTAATTACTTTTCTAGACCCTCGTAAGTGCTGTCTCCTAGAGTCTGAGTGCATGTGTGTGTATAGCTCAACATTGCATTGAATATAGCCTTTTTCGAGGATGGCAAAATATTAATTTCCTCATTAGCAACCTTCCTGTTTTCAGAGTCTTTAGAATATGGGTCAATACCTCCTACAAAGTTTCATAGTAAGATGAATTCCCCTCTTTCTGTTCTTTACTTTTTTCAATCTGCTTGAAGAATTACATAGGGAAAAATATTTCAGTCCTGGTTACTAGCTCCCAGTTAACTTGGTTTGCCTTCAAGTACAGAGGGGGTGTTTTTTTGAGGAAGTTGTCAGAGGCCTGGAGAAATGGACGTAAAGGAAACTCCGAGAGGAAATTCTGCACAGGACATTCTGCAGCATTACTGGGAATAGCTTCACTCTGAGAATTTCAAAATTGGAAGGGATCTTAAGGGTGTCTACTTAAATCCCCATAAAATCCTGGACTCGTATTTGCAACGTTTCCACCAAGTGGGCATCTAGCCCTGTCTTGAACACTTCCTGGGATGGGGAACTCTCTAACTCCCATTCTTTGGACCACACGATTAGTATACTAGGATATTTAATAGCAAATCGTGTGGTCCTTTTCACCCTCGAGTCCTGGATCCTGAGACCATGCAGAGTGAAGCCACCTTCCACTTATCTTCAGATATTTGAAGGCAGCTTTGCCCCAAGCCTTCTCTGCTGTCAGCTAAAAATTCCTTACTTCCTTGGCTAGCATTTTAAAGACTGATAATATTAAATTTCCTGTTTTGGGCTACCTGTGTAAGGTAAACATAAAAATACATAAATATAAAAATAACTGTTACTAAGTATGATTTGGTGATAAGTGATGACAGTGAATTGGTACTTAAAAATCAATTTTTTTTTTCTGTAGCCAAGTAACATATTTTTAGTAGATACAAACCAAATAAAGATTGGAGACTTTGGACTTGTAACATCCCTGAAAAATGATAACATGCGGACAACTGAAAAGGGAACTAAGCGATACATGAGCCCAGAACAGGTGAGATCCCCTTCCTTTCTGCTTATATATTATTTTACCGCTTTCATTTTCTTAACTATAAAAATAATAGACACCTCTCATGAAATTAAAACAGTACAGAAGTAAATTGAATAAAAATGAAAAATTATCCTTAACCTTTTCTTCGATTCCTGCTCTTCTTACTATAGTTTGTGGCTTATCCTTTTAGATCAGTTTCTGTGAGTTATAAAGAATATACAAAAAAAAAAAAGAATATACAGACACATATAGATATTTACAGAGACTTTCTTTACATAAAAATATACATAAGTACATTTTTATAAGGATGCTATAATGTTATTTTGTGACTTGATTTTTCTAACTCAACAAGATATCATAATGTTTCCAAATCTGTACAAATAGACCTGACACATTCTTTTTAACAACCTTATTGTATGCCAAAGTATAGATATACCACAACTCATTTAACTATTTCCTTATTGATGGGCGTTTATTTAGGTTGTTTCCAATGCTTTATTTTTACAGACATGTCATGTGTCTTCCCCCTAATCTTTGGGTCTAAAAATAAATATTTCTATGATAATCAATGATAGATTCTTTGAAATGAAATTATTGATTAGAATGACAGATGCACTTCAAAGTTGATAAATGGTGAAACTGTCATTCAAAAGAAGTGATTGCTCTCCTGCTGAAGTGTATGAGAACGCTGCTTCCTCCCTAATACTCTCAGTCGGACTAGGGTATTACCAGACAGGTCAGTGAGATGAGTGAAGTGTAGCTTGCTTTTTTAGTTTGCATTTTCCAGGTTTTTAGTAAGGTAGGTCATTGTTACATGTATTAACTTAAAATTTTTCTGCAAATTCTGTATTCATACCTTTCCTTATTTTTCTTAATTAAGTTATCTTTTTCTAATTTATTTGTAAAGAATCTTTATATATTTGGGGTATTGATGAGGTATCTGTTAATTATGTCACAATTTTTCTCCTTATCACTTTTTATTTCTTCATTTATAAGGTGGCATAGAAGCTTTTAAGTTGTCACGTTTATCAATATTTCTTTATAGCTTCTAGGTTAATCATTTTTATTTTGGAGATCCTTCCTACCATAAGACTATAAAAACATTTTGTGTTTTTGCTGATACTTTAGTTGAATTAATTTTTGTATATATATGTGAAGAAGGGATATAACTTGATTTTCCCATGTGGTTATACAGTTACTTCATCCCCATGTATCAAAGAGTTGATTACTTAAAATAATATTTTAAGGAAAATTCACAAAGACAAAAAGTAGAACAGAGGTTACTAGGGGCTGGGGGGAAGGAGGAATGGGAAGATGTTATTTAATGGGTACATTGTCTGTTTGAAATGATGAAAAAGCTCTGGAAATAGGTAGTGGTGATGGTTACACAACATTGTGAAGGCACTTAATATTCATCCCTTCTCCTGCTGACGGACATTGGGATTGCTTCCCGTTGTGGAATATGATGACTAAATCTGATAAGAGTATTTGCATGCAAGTCATTTACTGGGCATGATTTTAACTGCTTTACCTGCTGCGTCTCATTTAGCCAAACAGTCAAACTCAGGTTAAAACTGTTACTTCCATTTTATGGTTGAGATTATTCCCACACTGATGGTTAGTTACGCAGATGATACAACTACTCAGTGACAGAGATTTGAAGCTGGCCATTCAGACTACATATCTTGCTCATAAACATACATTGTTGTGTGATGTATTTTGGTTAGATGACTTTTTGGCCTCAGATGGCATGAATATTTACATCAGTTGAGTCACAAGTGTGACTGTATTTTGATTTTCTTCAGGATTCTTCAGAAGACTATGGAAATGAAGTGGATATCTTTCCTTTGGGGCTAATTCTTGCAGAACTTCTTTATATATGTCCCACTTTTTCGGAAACAGTGAAGGTAAATAATCTCACAGAAAGAATTAAGCAGCAAAAATTATTGGCCATCATGTCCAAGTGTTGCTGCAGACAGCCATTGCCCTCCTGTGAGAATGGGCGGGAGCCTATGAGTGTTGTATGCCAATGAAATAGGAATTTTTATCTCTTTCAAGTTTGAGCAACCAAAACTTTTTGTTAAAGATCAAAAACTTTGGTCTTCATTGGGAAGTGTGTACATCTCATAAAATTGTAGTTGTTTCTTCCTATTTGAATCAGTCTGTAAAATTTACTGGATTGCCTGCTTTGCCTAAGACCCCATGCCAAGCACTCCAAGCGTTTTGAAAATGAATGAAGCCTTGTTCTCAAGGAGCTTACATTCTAAAAGGGAAGATAATATAAGAGAATGCCATAAATGTTTTAGGAGAAGGCATGAAGGCTTATGAAAGCAGCTATGAGGGAGGTCTTGCCAGATGGAGGGATTTAGGTTAATGGGAGGCGTTTAAATTGGGCTCTGAAGAATCAGTTGGCTTCTAATAGTCCAAGTTTGAAAGATGGGGATGCTAGCTTGGAGACAGGAATGTGAAGAGTGTGTTTGGGAATAGCTGGCAGTGTCATTTTCATTGGAGGGTATAAGTCAAGGAAGTGATGGCTGGTGTTACTGGAAAGCTATACTGCAGCTAAACTAAGGCAAGAATATGCACTTTCTTGGGGAGGCAGTGGGGAGTCATGAAAGGCTTCAGGCAACTGGATATCCTAATCTGAAGCTCAGTAAAAGGGGCTTGCCTGGAGTTGACAGCCTCTTCCTCTATGAAACAGGGATAATGAAAATACTTATTGCAGAGGGTTCCAAAAAGAATGAAGGAAGACAATTCATATGATGCTCCTAACACTTCCACATGCTGTAATGTTCAGGATGGTTATTACACAGGGTGGGTGGGGGAGAGGATTCCTGCTTGCTTCTTGGCTACAGAAATTTCCCGATGATCTAGAAATAACCTCAATTTAGGGTATCCCCAGCCTTTAGTGCTTTCTCAGTTTGCTTTTTTTCCCCTCCAAAGTATATAACTTCCTAATGAATGTATATATGTTTAATTTTTAGATGTTTGACAAACTAAGAGCTGGCATTTTCTTAGACGTATTTGACAACAAAGAAGTAAGCCCTTAAAAATCATCGGAATTTTATTTATTGAAATGTTTTATTTCTTAGTATTGACTCTCACTGTCATTACAGAAAGATCTTCTACAGAAATTACTCTCAAAAGAACCCAAGAAACGACCTGACACATCCGAAATACTGAAGACTTTGAAGGAGTGGAATAATGTTACAGAGGAAAAGAAACGAAACACATATTAGATGCTAAAAAAGTATCCTGCTTCTGGCATTTGATCCTATAACTGTCTAAAATCTGCTAGGGAATATTGTTGACATTCACCTTCTATTTTCATCTTCCCTTAATTTCTTGCCACATTTGCAGAAAGGTTTCCATTTTTTTCTTATTTCTAAAACATTCTTACATTTGACTTTTTCCTGGTTCATCTCCTTATTGTGAAGATGGGGAAGAGAAAAAGAAATCTCTCAAATTTTCTTTTTCAAATCAATTAGTGGATCAATTAATTAATAAATATTTATTAAATGCCTACTGTTCCTAGGCCAAAAAATGTAAGATCTATCCCTGTCTTAAATAGCTAACAATCCAGTTGGAGAAGTATGGGTAACATGAAAAGACAAGTGAAAAAGATAAATACAGTCACTTTGGAAAACAACTTGTTATCATCTGGCAAAGTTAAGTGTATATAGCCATCCCTGAAAAGCCATCATTTCCATTTCTACATACATGCCTACAAGAATGTTCATAGAAACCCCATTTATAATAGCCAGAAGAACAGGAAACAATGCTAATGTGCATCACAAGAAGAATGGATACATAAATTGGATTGTATTCATACACTGGAATACAATGTAACAGTGAAAATGAATAAGTTACAGCTAAATGCATTAACATGCCACATCTCTCAGGAGCATAACATGTCAAGCAAAGCAGGATATAGAAAATACATACAGAATGAGTCCATCCATATAAAGTTCAAGAACATGCTAAATGAAGTAAGTTTGTTTAGGTATCCAAACAAATGTGGTAAAACAATAAAGGGAAGGAAAGGAACGAGAACTATTATTAGATTCTGATAGTGGCTGTCTCTGAGGAGGGAGGGGAGTGATGTGATTGGAGAAATGGACTTCAGAGGTAACAGTTAACTTTCTTCCCTTAAACTGGATGTTGTGTCCACTAGTGTTTGCTACATAATTATTCTACTTATCTTAAATACATTTTGTACCTATTGTAACAACACTTTAAAGAGATGATAATTGTGCTGTAAGGCGGTAGCTGAGCACAGGAAACAGTCCATCTGAAGGGACGAGATCACTCTCTACTGAGGTATAGTGGCACAGGGCTTAGAAGTCATGCTCCGGGGAGACTTTCAAGTGTATGAAAGATTTAGGTGACTAGAGAGGAGACCATGTGGGCAGTGTGGGCAAAAGGCATTCAAGAAAAGATATATTTGAGGAACACTGAGCATCCTAGTTTGTTTCTCTGAATTGCTGTAGGGAATGCTGGAAGGTAATTTGGGCTGTATCTGAGGGTTACTTTAAACTTTATAGCAACCAACTACCATTCTAAAATTATCGTGTAATTCTACAGTTTTTAAAATGAGCCAAATTTAGGCTTAGCAGAAAAATCACAGTAATAGAAGATACTTTTGTAAAGGCTTATAGCAATTTCTAAAAAGTGTTACTAAAAGCAATTAATACAGTTTTCAACTTCTGGTGCAGTATTTGATTAAGATAAGGTTCATCAATTGTTGCTAAAACTGTTGGTTGAAAAAGTGTTGAAAAACAGGGCTTTAAACGGATTAAAATATAATCCCACAGATGATATTACAAAAGGAAAGATGTATCTTTAAAATGGAAAGAGCTTATCTCCACAATAACCAAGTGATTAAATTTAGCATCGCTGAAAGTGGGATGACCCGACATCATGCCCCTCCTAATGTGATGCAAGGATTATACACTGTCACCTATTCAGTTTTCTTGTCCAAAGTGTTTAACTGGAATTTAATCATGAGGAAATTATTAGACAAATTCTGAATGAAGTCATTTGATAAGGTAATTAACTTGGGCTTCTCAAAAAGTCAATATCATGAAAAAGAAATGTAGGCGAACTCTTCTAAATGGAGAGACTTGAGAGATATAATGACCAAATGCAGTGCTTGAATCTTGAATGTATTCTGGCTATATTAAAAAAGAAAAAGTCAGAAAATAGCTGTAACACGCATAAAGACTTTTTTTGAGACAATTGAGAACATTTGAATATAAACTGCATATTAAATGACATTATAGAATAATTCTTAATTTTCCTAGGTGTGATAATGATATTGTGGTCATCCTGGAAAATGTCTTATTAGGCAATGTGTTCAGAAATATTTAGGGGTGAAGTGGTGTGACATTTGCAACTTCCAAATGTTCACTGAAAATCAATTTTTATGTATATCTATGTGTGTGTGTATATATAGAGAGAGAGTGAGAAAGAAAATGTGACAAAATGTTAACAATTGAAAAATTGATAAATTTCAGTGGAAGATATAGAAGTGTTTCTTGTATGATTCTTGGAGTTTTCTGTAGGTTTGAAATTTTTCTGGGTGGAGAGAAATCTTTAAAAAAAAAGCTAGTAGTATCTGGATTTTAATGAATAAGTCTAAATTCAAAAGAAAAACTAATGAATGTGGCAAGTTAGTGTGAATGTGGCCTTATTTTTACCTTTTCTCTTTTTTTAATTGAAGTATAGTTGATTTACAATATTATATTAGTTTCAGGTGTCCGACAGTCAATATTTTTATACATCCTTCTCTCACTTTAATATTTCTACTACCATGAAGCAAATATAGCATCCCTAGGAAGCTTTTGTTTATTTATGAGTATATATTTTCTCTGCCTCAAAACTAGTAAATAAAAAGTATCCTCTTAAACAGAGAATGTGCAGAGGTTTTGAAAGAGCTATTTTGACCTAGTTGCTTCACTAGGAACAGAACTTCTAGGAAATTTTTATCACTAATTACACATACACTATTTATTAAATATACACATACTTAACATAAATACATATATATGTAATACACTCAGCACATACATATATGTTATTGTGTTAGGTATATTTAGCATATATACATAAATAAGTGTGTGTGTGTTTGTATGGCCAGCTACATAATTTGTGAAGCCCTTGTTCAAAAATTAACGTCGGGGGAAGGGTATAGCTCAGTGGTAGAGTGTGCTAGTTTAGCATGCATGAGGTCCTGGGTTCAATCCCCAGTACCTCCATTAAAATAAATAAACCTAATTACCTCCCCTGCCCACAGTAAACCAATAAATAAACAAATAAAACATTAAAGTTTTTTTTTAAATTTAATGTGGAGGTGGGGGTATAGCTCAAGTGGTAGAGTGCATGCTTAGCATGCACAAGGTCCTGAGTTCAATTCCCAGTACCTCTATTTAAAAAAAAAAGTTAAATAAGTAAACCTAATTACCCCCTCCCCAAAACAAACAAAACAAAAAAATACGTGGGTCCTCATACAACCACACAGGTTGCATGTTCATGAGGTTAGATGTGTATGAAATGTTTAGAAGACTAAATACGAGCTTTTCCAAGACTCCATTTATCCAGTCTATGTTCTTGAGAGATGAACTCGTAACATCAATTTCCCACAACTTCCTACACGTTCACCACAACTTAAAGTTCTTAGCATGTTAACTTTTCATTATGAAATACGGCATAATTCCAACATTATTTATTTTCGAAAGTTTTTATCTTAAAACATACACAGAAACAGAGACTTGAATAAGGAAACTGTGTACCCATGACCCAGCTTCAGCAACGATCAATTTTCTGCCTTTCTCATTCTATTTAACCTTTCCTTTTTTAAAATATCTTTTGCTGGAGGATTTTAAAGCAAATCTCAGGCATCGTATCATTTCACTTGTAAATTCTTAAAAATGTATTTTTAATAGGTAAGATCTTTTTAATTTTAACCAAACCATGATATCATTGTCACTGAACAAAATGAATAAGATTTTATTAATTATCATACACTAATCAGTCTTTATTCCATTTTCCTGTCTCAAAAATGTCTTTCTGAAGGTTGTTTCCATCAGGATCCAACATTGCATTTAGTCGGTATGTCTCTTTTACTTTATAACATTCACCCCATTTTAATTTCTTTCTTCTTGCTATTTCTTTGAGGAAGAAACTAGATCATATATCCTATAGAATTTCCTTCACTGAGGATTTTAGCTGACAGTATCCCCATGGTGTCTAGTTAGATCTAGAAACATGATTTGATTCTGGCCCCCCAATTTTTTCCAAGAATACGCCATAGGTGATTCTTTTGCCTCACTTCAGGAGGAACGTGATGTCTAGTTGTTCTACTTTTGGGGATTTTAAATTTGATTGGTAGTTTGTGGTGGTGTCACTCTTCCTTATCAATCTTTCACCTAATGGTTAGCAGCCATTGATGATTATTGCCTGGAGCCATTATTTCATTAGGGATTGCAAAATATTGATTTTTTTTTTTGGATTCTATCAAACCTCTTGCATTTATCATCTGTGATTCTTCTATAAAGAAGAACTTTCTCTAAAGCTGAATGAGAAAAGTGAGATAAATATTTCTTATATTTCTTTTATTTATTTTTTACTCTTTTGGCAAGGGAGGTAACTAGGTTTTTATTTAGTTATTTTAATGGAGGTACTGGGGATTGAACCCAGGACCTCGTTCATGCTAAGCATGCACTCTACCACTGAGCTATACCCTCCCCTCAATGTTTCTTAATTTTTAGGTTGAGCTGGCATCCCAGCAACCTCCAAAGTGATGAAGTGAGCTTTGTTTTTTTGGCAGGGGCATGCCCTAACCTACACTTTGAAATAGTGTGTTTAGAGTGGGCTGGAGCAGGAAAAGACTATATTTCTGAGGCTGAGAGGCTGAGAAGGCCTTGTCAGTGGGAGCGGAGAGAACCAAGAGGAACTGGCAACTAATTGGATGTGAGGATTTAGGGAAAAGCATCCCAGATAACCTCCAGGTTTGTTTGATGGTGAGAGCCAGGAATATGCCATTAAAGGAGATACAAGTCTCAATCAAATTAACCCCTTAAAGAGCCACATGTATTTGAGAGAGATTTTGTCTCACACTGTTATCTATTACACAGTTTTTAGTTAGGATTTCGGCCAACGGTGGGGCCCCTGTTCACATGTCAGCAGCGTGAGATGAAGCACATCTGAGAGGGAAAACGCTGGATCTCATTTTGAGATGCCGCATTTGAGGTGCTGCCAAAGATTCGGGGGAGACATAGAGCAACCTCTGGGAAATGCAGGAGAGGCACTTGATAGAAAGGATGAACTGGACTCATACACAGAGGAGATGTGTATGTTTTCTGGAAGTAACCCCTGATGCTTAACTTTGAATCCAAGGGATTGTCAAGGGGGAGGTTACACAGAGGAAAGAGGGCTCAGAAACAGAAGCATGGGAGACACCTCCATTTAGATATTCAATCTTTACATCTAAATGTCAGTCCTCCCTAATGTCTGTGATTCGATGTCTGGGACTGTGACCTATACCTATCCTGCACTTTCTCAGAAGGGTCACCAAGGAAGGGACTGCAGGGGATAGATGGCCTGCCCTCTGATTGAAAACTGTGTAATAGGTAAAACTCTGAGGCAAATCAAATATCTCTCAAATATGTGAGACTGAGGGGTCAATTGGATTGAGACCTGTATTTGTTTCCTGTGGCTGCTGTAACCAGTTCCAAAATTGGTGGCTGACCTGTGCAAGTCACTAACCCTGTCGGGCCTCATTTTTCCTCTCTTGTGAAAGGGGACCCTAATTCCTACTCAAGACTGTTTTCAGGATAAAACAAAATAACACAAACCTTACACAACCGGAAAACAAAACAAAACAAAATTGGTGGGTGAAAACCACCCACTTTTATTTTCTTACAGTTCGGGAGGCCAGAAGTCTGAAAAAGGGCTCCCTGGGCTCAAGTCAGGTGTTTGCAGGGTTGTGCTCCTCTGGGGGCCCCGTTGTGCATCCCATGTTCAGTGTTACCTGAATAAGCCCCAGCCACACAGGTCTGCTCAGGCTTAACTGAATAGGCTTTTTCGCTCCATGGCTCTCTGCTATGGTTTCTGCCTGAAATTCCCTTCAACCTACTTTTTTTTTTTTAAATAACAGCTTTAGTAAGACATAATTCACATACCATAAAGTTCAACCCATTTAAAGTATACATTTGTTGGTGTTTAGTATATTCAGAGCTGTACAACCATCACCACAATCATTTTTTTAAGAAAAAAATATGGCTTTAATAACGATAAAGACATGATAAAACAGCCCATATAAGTACCAGATAAAATGATAGAGTAGGAATATGGATGGATAACAAAATAAAAACCACTATTGGAATAAATAATGACAGATTAGACTTACATATAAATTTTAAAAATAGGAAATAACCAAAATTAAATTATGAATAATACCAAAATCAACTGGGGAGAAAATGAGGAAGTCTGATATTTTCACGAATGTGCTTCACCACAGTCAATTTTATAACATTTTTCTCACCCCAGAAAGAAACCCCGTACCAATTAGCAGCCATTCCTTATCTTCCCCCAACTTGAGGCAACCACTAATCTACTTTCTATCTTTTCTATCTGGACATTTTATTTAAATGGAATCATACAATATGTGGTCTTTTTGACTTAGTATGTTTTCAAGTTTCATCTGTGGTACAGCATGGATCAGAAATTCCTTTCCCTTTTATTGCCAAATAATATTCATGTATGGATATATCACATTTAATTCACCTCTTCATTGGCTGATGGACATTGGGGTTTCTACTTCCTGGCTATTATGAATAATACTGCTTTGAATATTCGTGTACAAGTTTTATGTGAACATATGTTTCCATTTCTCTTGGGTATATACCTAGGAGTAGAAACACTGGTCATATTATAGCTCCTTCCTTGTAACTCTGCATAGCAAAGTTATGTTCAGAGCTCACATTCAGTGCTGTTGCCATAGTGTTCCACCATCTCCCACTTGGAATGAAACTTCTCCCTAGTATTCCCTTTGTGTATTACCTCAGTATTGTACTTACCAGTTTGCCTTGGAGCGCAGTTATTCCTGCACAGGTGTTTCCCTCCTTGTGAATTTCTTGAACGCAGGGACAGGCTCTCTCTTTTTGATTTACCCCAGGGCAACAAGTGTGTTGCCCTGCATAAAGCAGGAACTCTTTTGAATTAGTGGGGAATAAAAGTGTTAAGAATTTCATATGCTTGATCCTATAAAATGTGTCTAATACTAAATAATAATTATGTTCACTGTAAAATTTCAACAATCAAATGTTGGTAAATAATACTTGGAGTAAAGGTGGGTAAGGTAGATCAATTTTGTATGTTAAAGTCTTTTTATTTTGAACTTTAGAAGCTCCAGTATTTTGGCTTTATAATTAGGAAAATGAACTATTATAGAAATACTGGATAGGACTTTGAGAATAAACATAGTACAATATAAACAAAATTAAATGATGACATGTTAAAGTTTACTTTACATTTCAAATGTCACATATGTTCAAAAGCAAATTTAAAAATTCTTTTTTTTTAATAAAAATTCTTTTCAATGTTTTGCTTCCTTTGGTTTTCACTATTGTCATAAAGTTGTAAAAGGCTTATATGAATAAAAATAAGTTTTTACTCATATTAGAAACTGCGTTTTTAATTATCAGTGGTAAAAGTGGAGGGATATCTCCCACTGTCCAAGGCAGGCTGAGTTCTGGCCTCTGGCCTGGAGATGCAGACCACAACTCTGGTGGAGTCGTGGGTTCCATCCAGATTATTCCTGCATTCTAGGCCTAATTGTTCTGAGCATATTTAAAAATTCTAGGCCACTGGGCAGGTTGTGGGTTGCCCCAGGGTCAGCAAGGGGAGAAAAGGAAGCCAGTTCCTAACTCCATTCTGTCTGAAACAATCTGTGTGGCTTTGGGACTGACTGACTGAATGTGGTTATGTTAGCTGAAATGACAGGAAAGGAATTGACAATAATTCTAAAAAGATGCAGTCCTTTTTATTTGTTAATGCAATTTTATTATTTTTTAAATGAAAAAAGTAAATATCAAACAGTACTGTACAACTATGTAAGCTACAATATTTTATATATGTATTTATATTCATAAAAATAATTCAGTTCTGGATGAAGAACTGAGGCCCAGAAAGTAACTAGGTTTGCAAGCTCAGCTGCATCTTAGAATCAAGGATAGTGATCACAGGCCACAGAATCTCTAGGGGGTGGAATCTTTGTATTATCATTTTTTAAAGCTCCCCCAAAAACTTGAGAACAAGTAGATCAGGTCGTGTTAGGTCAGATGCCAGTGTAAGTTGTACTATTGATTATCTCAACTCAGGCAAATGTAGGTTAGCTTTTGCTATGTTCTCAGGTATGTAGCTTCTAATAGAAGAGGTTGATCTCTTGCTCAGTGCTACTGAAAGGTGAGCTATAAAACTGTACAGGTGAGATCCAAAGAGCAATTGTGCTCTAGTTTAACCAAGAGCACTAGTTCTCACCCACAGGTGATAATCAGACTCATTCTTAGAACTTTAAAATAAATACAGATATTCAGAAAGTAACCTAGACTAGCTGAATCAGAATCACTAGGGGAGGCACCTGAGCTTGTGAACTTTAAAAAATAGTCCATGATTTTGACGCCCAATCTTGGATGGAGCTCTCTAGAGGTGTGCCACATAGTATGTCTTCAGCTATATTCAGTTAAATTATAAGGAAGCAGAATTCAGGAAAAATAACTTTAAAAGTGACTCAGAGCTACCCAGCAATGCAACAGTCTGTTTTAAGATAGTGAGCTCTGTGGCTGGAGGAATAAAGGCAAAGGTTGGATTACCACCTGCTGGGAATGTTGTCAAAGGGATTAATAAAGAAGGTGGGTCATCTGGTATTTAAGGTTACTCCCAATTATTAAGTTTCTTTAGCCAAAACTTGCAACAATTCACTTATAATGGACATATACATTGCCATGAAAACTCATAATTCTACAGCATATCATAATTACTTTATTTCTAAAACTGAAAAGAATTCAGTACTATTAATGGAACATTGCCTCTGACATCTCTCTTACTGAGGGGGATACTTTTCCTCTCCTCTCCATGCTTGCATGGAGGGAAGGGACCTTCTTCTTGCTCTTTGGAAGAGCGAAGAATGGGAACAAGCTCTGTGAATCCATATTCATTCCCTCATAACACAGAGGTGTCTCATCTGATGAGTGATTTTGGGAAAAGGAACTGAGCGTGGGTGACCTACCCCTGGTGGGTTGGGTCTCTCACCTTAAGAACTAACTGGTCTCCAAACACAAAGATGGGCTCAGTCCCTGAGAGGCCAGGTCTGCAGTTCTCTCCAGATACGGCGATCTCTCAGGGAGCCTGACCGTAGGACAAGTCAACTTGCTCTCCATTTCAGCTTCATTGATAATAAAGCTGATATTTCTATTTTGCTCTCTCTCTAACTCCCACGTCTTATTTCTCAATTTGTTCCAAAGTGAAGAAGGGAATAAGAGAGTTCCTAGTTGGTATCTAAATCCTGTAAGCATCAAAACAGAGTCATAAATTGTCACTGCCCATGTCTACAATACTTGTGTTCTGAAATGCTATTCCATTATGTTTCTAAAGTCAGTAAACAATTATATGCTAAAGTACAAAGTACTTATAATATACAAAATATATAAAGTCCCTCCTTTACTGGCATCAAAAGTTTGGGAGTTCTAACTGCTCAACTGTTTATCTTTAGGAAACAATAACATTTGCCAAGCTTCTACTTTATTGAGAATCATCTAGTCATGATCTGCGGAAGTTGGTCCTGGGCAATTTGAAGACAGATCTTCTTTATCTGGAATTTATGTGAGAAAAGAAACAATTAATACAAATTGCATAGTTAATTATTCTAGAACATTCTTTCAACAACATGTATCTTGTAACTGTGTTTGCGTCTGACTCTGCTAAACAAAGCAGGAAAAGATACAAGCAACAATAACTATAAATTCTTCACTCTCTAGGACAAAGTCCTTAAATTCAAGTTAACTCTGTAAGACATTTGACATGTTTCATTTCTTCCTTAGAGTGAAAAAAAAGAGTGGATTTCCACATTCTGATTTTTTATGGTTCAGGGACAATATTCTACCTAATGACCAAAATATTAGTTCTAAAACTTTATTACATCTTTCAAATATCTGTAGCTGAAGAATCATTAAAAATAAAGCATGGCTATATATAAAATACATAAACAACAAGGTGTTACTGGTATAATACAGGGAATTATATTCAATTATCTTGTAGGAGCCTGTAATGAAAAAGAATATATATCTATGTGTAAATATATATATATATGTGTGTGTGTATAACTGAATCACCACGCTGAACACCAGAAACTAACACAATATTGTAAATCAACTGTACTTCAATTAAAAAAAAAGGAAAATAAAATGAAAAAAAATTCTTTATTTTGAAATAGAAGACTGAAAAATTCCCTTCTGCACATTCAGTTTCTAAGAAGTTAAAAGCTCCTTCAATCAGCCCTCAATTATTTCTCTGTCCACTATTTCTTTAAAACATTCATCCCAAATTGCCATTTAGATGGAATAAAAAATTTCCACTGTCTACAGGAAATGTGACTTTCACACACACACAAAATCAAAGAATTTTCGTATTGAATATTTTTTTAAAAGTATAAAATATCTTCTTACCTTCATAGGCTGTTCCACACCAAATACAATACAGGTGTTCTTCTCTTAAATAACTAGTCAATATTTGTAATTTTTCCGATACCTAGATATAGGATACAAGCACACGGATAGTTCACATTGAAGTCTTGGTTTGCTGTTCTCTTAGATCATGCTGAATTAGCCCAAGGCCATAAATCCTCTGCTACACTCTCAACCAGTTAGGAGAGGTGTCAAGGGCAGAATATACTAGAACATGTCCCAGTTTACCAGTTGCCCTGATATTTTCACGTCTGCCAGACACAACAGAAACCACTGTTAACACTTCAACAACAGATTCCGGTTGGCTCTATTAGAATCAACCTCCTTTAAAGATTCTTTTTGCTTTCAAAGAATCTACCTCCGCCAGATGGGATGAGGGTGAGACTGCCTCTCTGTGCCATTATTCTCATCAATGGTCTCCCAGTTACGTAGGACATAGGTTTTTAAAATTGTGGATGTTTCCTATAAACTCTTTCATACAAGTAATCATAGAAATGTGTGTGTATTCTTTTCTTGAATAATCTCCACTTCCTTTGAATTGTGCTTTTTGTTCTGTTTTGTTTATGGGTAGGGGTGGGAGGTGCTCAGAATCACTTCTGGAAGCTCAGTGAGGGGAAACAGGTGGGAATTAACATAAGTTACATTTGCAGCTAATCCATCAGCCAACGAAAACTGAGGTAAAAAGAATACACTGAAGCTAAAGGGGAAAATTGTATGAAGTTTTGATTTGAGTTTAATAAAATAAAACTATAATGCAGTGGTTCTCAGCTAGGGATGATTTTTCCCCTCAGGGAGACATTTTTGGTTGTCTCAAGGGGCAAGTGCAATCGACATCTGCTGGGTAGAGACCAGGGATCCTGCTGAACATCTTACAATGCACAGAACAGCCCCCTGCAACAAGCAGTGACTGGGTTCAAAACGTTAATAGTGCCAAGGCTGAGACACCCGGCTTAATGGTACCAAGACATACACTTAAATCTTCACTCTTATATTCATCTTCATCTTGCTCTTCTTCTTCCTCTTCTTCAGTCTCCTCTTCAAGCCTCAACCAGTACCATGCCTCTCTGGGAACCTGAATATTCTGAAAATGTAGAATTATTCCCAATTAAACACAGTGAAACAAAAGACAATCACAAGTATGTTCATGTCAACATGGATTCATTCTTCCAATTAAATACTTACTGAGCACTGCTTCAAGAGTAAAGCACTGGACTATGCACTACGGGGATGCAAAACCCAATAAGAATATTGCCTCCAAGTTGCTGATAGACTAGTAGGGAAAGTGAACTATGGGCATGAATAGCTTAATGGGCATAAAATAATACATATAAGCGAGGAAATCTTAAGTGTCATGACCTATACTCAAAATAACATGCTATGGAAATACAGAAAAGTGAGACATTGCTTCCAGAAACCTATTTACATACGAGGGAACTTTTACATTTTTGAGACTTTAAACGAAGTCATTTTATTTTGATGGTAATTGAACCATCAAAATAAAAAATAGAAATCAAATTAAATCAAAGATAGACTTTTAAGAATCATTCAAATCTGAGATAGTATTCTACCATGATTTTACGAGTTAGAGACATGTAAGTTACTGAATATGGAATGAAAATGGGCTATTTTGGTTAACCAAATATTCTGGTGAACAGAATTTCCACACATACTAGTTCTGAGTAATCGATATTCAAATAAGCAGAGAACAATGAAATGTAGGAATGGTATCTAACCATTATTGGATGGTTCGGACTACTCAGGTTCCTGCAGTGAACAAGCCATTATTGTGATTGTGATCAGCTATCACAGATGAATAGTTCATGTTAAATGAGGGTTTTAATGGATAGAGGGCTAGATATACCAGGCTTGGTGTTCTCTCTCTTTTTTTTCAGATAAAAATACATGGCTAATCACATTGGGTACCAAAAAATTTTACCCAACTGAATACAGGTAAAGGGCTTACCTTCTGAGTATCCAACTGCTGACAGGCTCTCTGGCTTCTTCTGAGATCTCCTTCTAGCTTCACTTCATCTTGCTTATTTTTAAGTCGCATTCTAATTGAAAGAAACAATAGTACACTAAAGGTCGGTACCTTCTTTATCCATTTTATATGTCCAAGTACCAGACATACCACAATAAAGAAAAGATGAAACCAAAAAACAGCTCAAATACCGAAACTGTTCTGCAGCTTTTTCTTCAGCTTGGTTTCTCATGTGAATCTTTTTTCTGTAGCTTTCTAATTTTTCCTCTGCTTTCCGTTTTAATAATGCCTCGTGACCAATGCCACTTTTCCCTGCTCAGACGGAAAACACTGATGAGAAACTTACTGACTTACTTCATACAAAATATTTACAAATTAAATGCAATTCTAATTTGAGTACAATCACTCAAAGTCATTTGATGAGGATAGGAGAAAACATTAGAGATTTTTTTTAACCAAAACACACAATGTGAATTTTTCAAAGATCATTAGTTTGATCTAATAAGATGGTAATACTATACACATTTTTTTTCAAATTGAGAAAACAGTATCAACTGTCATATTTTCATATAAATATGATGGACATATAAAATATATGTATTTTCTCTTTAACTTGTCCACAGTATTAAGAGAAATATTTAATGGATAAATCTGTCTCAGAATACTTTTAAGACATTCAATGGACAAAAATATCCTTGTGTTTTTAATGATTACAACTCTTTCTCTGTATTTTTATGATTTAAATTTTATTTTATACTCATTAGAGCTTACTTTTACTTTTATTTGAAACGGCTTAGAACTTTAGCTAAGAAACATTGTACTGAGGGGGGGTCTTATGATTAGAACTGTAATAGTACTACCATAAAAAAGTACTTATTAAACAAATATATGTGCTAGATTTAAGCATAAGTTATTATTCCTGGTAGACAGCCTCAAAAATAATTATGTACCTGTTTTGACATTGAGGGGAATTGGTTCAACAATACCATCTCCTAAAAAAAGAGAACAAAACACAAATGACTTTAGAAATTCTTCCTCAAACTATAGGTAAGTGCAGTATGCAGCCTTACAATGTTCCATACATATCCCCTCCAGTTTCACTGGTATTCAAAACTGAAATCTGAACATTAATACTCTATATAATCAACTACCTCCCTTGCCTTCAAATACCTAGTCCTGGTCCATAGCCTCCTCTGCAACTGAAGGTAGGGTTTCTTTATCTTTTCATTGAAGTATAGTTGATTTACAGTGTTGTGTTCCGAAGGTAGGGTTTTAAAGAAATGAAAACACTGATACGTATTCAAGAGGGTGGCAGCCTCAAGAGAGAGCAAGGCCTTGCTAGGTGAAGATCAAAGCAACGGCAATGAAGGAGAGAAGAGAGAAACAGCTTACAGAAGCTACTACAGAGGTGGCCTCTATCTCTGAATAAGCAGTCTCATTCCTAAAAGAGAGGTGAGATCTGAGCTTCTCCAACTGAGTGGTTACTCAGGCAGCTGCCACAGGCACAGAGCAAGCACGGCAGAGTCCTGCCATCATCTCCAATGTTGCATCCCTGTCCTTTGGCCACTGTACTTCTTCACCCTTCTGCCACTGCTCCTAGTTGTTGCCTCCATTTTAAGCCTCGTTCATCTCACTGGTTAGTGCCTTCAAGCCTGAGCTGCGCTGATAAGCAGCTCTTGATGGCACGTGGCTACCTAAGTGGCTGTGGGGAGATGAAGATCTCCATAAGCTTGCCAGCATGTAAGGGACTAGGAAGCTTAAGTTGTCTTAATTTCTGGGTAGGGGGACAAAAATTAAAGAGTCATCGCTGGTACTTGTCACCTAAGCATCTGGTGGTTAGGAACAGCTGTTTATGTCCGGCTGTGACTTACCACTCTTGCCGAGGGCCTGACCACTTTTATAGCCCATCTTTTGGAGCAAAGCAAACCCTTTGTTTTCACAGCCTAGTGCATTCTTCAACCCGATGTCACGTCTCTCTTGTTCTTCTTCTTTTAAACTCTTCTGCCTATTTTTCAAATTAGCTTCCTGTTGCTTTTCTTCTTTGCGTCGGGCTTCCCGGATTTGCCTCAGCATTGGCAAGCCTGGTCGGACATCTTCTCTGAAGAAGGAAGGGAAAAGGTTATTTTAGACGAGTACGTGAAAGTTTCTCCTAACTTTGCCACTTACTCGCTTGACACTAAATATTTCAGTGCTACCTCTGGAATCCTCTTTGCTATCATCAACAACAGAACACAACCAGTGACCTCTGAGAACGGCTGTCTTAGTGAAAGTGATGAAGGCTGGTGCCAGATTGTAGGAAACTATAGAAAATATAGAGTTGAAGAAATCAGTAATAGTAAATTTAGACCAATTTTTCCAGGAGGCTGGCAAGAATAAAGGGCAAAGCTGACAGTAGAAGAAGAGACCATAAGATGAAAGAAAACAGTAAATTTCCTTGGAAGAGGGGAATAAAAAGACTCAAGGGCAGGAGTTAAACACTAAGCGTTAAAAGGGAAGAGGCTTCTAGTATCTTTGTATTATAAAATGTAGGAAGTGTTGCCATAAAGCAAAAAGACTAACTTTCCAACCTCACCTTTGGAATCAATGTCATTGTTTAAAAATCTACACTGATGTCTCAAACACATCATTACATGAGGTGTGCACAGTTACTTACTGGACATTAATGAAGGAATCAGACATGTAGTCGTCTTCTTCTGCCATGTTCGACTTCATATGGCAGAAGTATCTACAAATCAAATAGGACAGAGTAAAAATCATTAATTTTCAGTTTACCAAAATGGAAATAAATGTGCATGTATCCCCAGCTATGACCTTTCTCCAGAGCTCTACTCCACATTCAAGTGCACTTTTGACATCTTTCTGGGTGGTGCTCTCAAACTGAACAATCCAAATAACTCATCTCCTCCCCCACAACCTCCTTCATCCTTCTTATTTTCAAATTAGTGCCCCTGCTTTCTCCCCTTTCCTGACCTCTTATAAACCCCTGCTAACCATTCCTCCATAATATCCCTCATAGGCATTTTCCCCACAGCTGTGACCACTGCTTTAGTTTAGGCACTCCTTTCTCACCTGAACTATTACACCTACTTCCTAATTGGTCTCATTGCCTTTGGCCTCTCCTCTTCCAGCCCATCCTCTGCAAGTTCTCCAGAGTGGCTTTTTAAAAACCTAAGTCAGGCCATCTTAGTTGCCTGTTTCAAATCCTTCAATAAACTTTACCCTGTGGGCAGTGGAGGAATCATCACTTTAACACGGCAGGAGAGCCTTCATGATCTGATCTCTGGCTCTTTATTAGGATTTATTATTCATGCCACATGGGCTCCTCCTTGCCGTCTGAACACACCATGGACAGTTCCTTCCTTCTAGGCCTGGGCTACCTTCCTTCACAAAAACCTGTCCTGACCACTCCAGGCCTCTATCTGCAGCATTTCATGTTCAAGCTGTTCATTTGGAACTTGATGTAGTCAACACTTCACTTATATGGAAACATTTTTTTGAGGACAGTTTCCAACCTAAATAGTTAAAATCATGTAATTGCTAGCCCTAAAAGGGTTAAAGGGGTAAAATAATTATCCAGAAGAGTGCAGCTCAAACTTTATTGTGTATATGAATTGCCCCAGGATCTTAAAATGCGGAGTCTGATTCTGAGCCAGAGCCCGAGGTTCTGTGTTTCTAACAGGCTCCCAGGTGATGTCAACGCTGTGGGTCCAGTTACAGGATATGAAAGGGGAGTCACTTGTTGCAGTGCGCGTATGCTGTTTTTGCCTGGTTGTCATCCTTCCCTTTGGAAACCTAGCCCTCTGCCCTCCTTGTGGAAGGTGGCAATCTTAGTACACCCTTGGGTACAAGATGGCCAATTAGAGTGACCTATAGCCTAGCAAGAGGAGAGGGGGTGACCTATCAGGGAGGATAAACATCTTTTTCCCTATAAGATACAAATATATGAGTTGTTGGGGAAAGAAGCTCTCTTTGCTGGGGTTTCTGAACTGGAAGTATGTGAAGATGGGCTGTGGGAGCCCATCTTCTCGGCCATACGAAGAGATCCTGTTCTGCAGAATGAACCCAGAGTGGACCTGTGTAACCAACAGGATATTGTGGAAATAGTGGAGTGTGACTTCTTGGTCATAAGAGACACTACAGCTCTTAGTTAGATCCCTTGAACTCTGAAGGAAGTTAGCTGTTACGTAGTGAGAATATTTAAGCAGCTCTGTGGAGAGGTCTACACAGGAGGAACTGAGGCCTCCTGTTGACAACCAGCACAAACTTGGGAGTGACATGAGTAAGTCACCTTGGAAATGGATCCTCTAGCCCCAGTCAAGCCTTCAGATGACTCAGCCTGGGCTAGCATCTTCCCTACAATTCCTTAAATTCCAAGCTAAGCCAAACCACTATTTCTCAACCCACAGAAACTGTGACAGCATAAATGATTATAGTTATTTCAAGCTGCTAAGTTTTGGATTAATTTGTTATACAGCATCAGATAATAGAAATCAGCACCCCTTATCAGCCACGCATAAGCCCTCTTTGTTCCCTACCCTATCACAACCCTTCCAGTCACTTCCCTCCTTTTATGTATAGTTTCACCATCCACACATGCATCCTTAAACATTACAATTTAGTTTTGCCTACTTTTATTTTTATTATAATACAATTAAGTTAAAAGTGTTAAAGATTATATACAGCATTTTGGTAATTCACCTAGTGTCTACAAACCTGGATTCTCCATTTGTAATAATAGTATTTTTAACCATAATGGTTTAGCACCTACCTAGTATATCACACATTTTTATTCCATTTAATTATCATTAACAACTGTGTAAGGTAGGAATAGTTAGTCCTGCTTTCCAGTTGGAGAAATTAAGACTCACTATGGCTAAATGACTTGCTCAATACCACAAAAAATCCAGGTCTCAGAGCTCTTTCTACTGCAAATAGGATTAGATTACTTTTACGGGACACATTTAGCTCTAAAGTGCTAGGAATAACGGAATGGGGATTACAGGTCTTTCTAAATCTCCTTTTTTTATGGTTACAATGTACTTTAGCACCATCTATTCCCATCAAGCATAACAATAAACTTCATAAGGCAATAATCCAGGCAGAGATGACGGTGGCTTGGACCAGTGACAGCAGTGAAAGTGGTGAGAAGTGATCAGATTCTGTGTATATTCTTAAAATAGAGGTAACAAGATTGCTGATGGATTGGAGGTGGTGTGAAATCGATGTCAAAAATTACTTCAAGGCTTTTGGTCTGAATACCTGGAAGAATGGAGTTACCAGTTTTTGAGAGTGGCTAGATTGTAGCACAGGTTTGCTTTTTTAAAAGGCAGAGAGCTGGCAGGGAGGCGACAAGAGAGCTGCTTCACATATATTGAGAATGTCATTACACATCCAAGTGGAGAGAGGTACTAAGGAGCAAAGTTACGAAGAAATGCCTCAGTCCCAAACACTCCCGACAGGGACGGCTCATCCCTCCCCTCCCGTATTCCTCCCAGTTGCAAGCGTTCAACAGACGCGACCACTCACGGGTGGGAGCATGGGTAATGGTGTGACGGGTAGTCACAGTCAGTGCACAGATCATCGCCATTCATTGTTCTCTCAGGCGCCCATAACCCCTTACCTGGCAGCTCCACTCGCTCCCGGCCGGCTCGCAAGAGCCGCTCGCGGCGCATGCGCCCACCAACCTGCGCAGGATCTCTGGGTCAGGGTTCCTACCTGAGTTTCCGCGAACAGAATCAATTGGAAACCTGCGGCAGGCGGGGCGAGCAGGACGTGGTTAGAGCGCTTGCGCGGATCAGCCTTCCGCGCACGCGCTCTTCCCCCGCTTCCTGCCTGCAGGAGGGCGGGAGGCGGGGCATCCGGGTCCCTCGGCGGCTGCTTCGGCCCCGGAGCTCAGCTGATCCGCTCTGCCTGACTAGGAGGTGAGGCCGCCCCCTCCACCTGCGAAAGATGCGCGTTGACAGGCACACACACACTCTAGTCACCCCGTTGCTGTCTGAGTGCTGGGGGATGGAATTCGAGTTCGTAATGAACATTTTCCTCTTTCAGCCGCCGCCTCATGGGGTTGGCAGCCCCGGTGACCCGGCCGAGGCCTGGGGCGGCCTGTTAGGCTTCCCCTAGGCCTGGCGCTGCGCTGGCGTCCTCGGAATCTCGGGGTTAAGTCAACCCTGCGGCGCGTGGCGTCCGCCAGCTGCGTTCCTGGACCGCCCGGGGTTGCCAGTGAACCCTCGGCCGCTGCCACACCATCCCTGTAGAAAGACTCCTGCAGACTTTCAGTGGGGCCTTTCTGCTGGGGCGTTTTGACGTCCTCCTGGGACAGATGCAGGGGGAAGGTGAAGGGTGCTGTGCACTGAGCAGGGGGCGAGAAAAAAGGAGGATGGTTGTCAGACCCAGATGGTGTTTGATCTTGGTGCTTCAGGTTTCCCATTCATGGAATGGGTTAATGTTATGTGTTTTGCTAGGTATATTTCTTCCAGAATAATGCCTTATTTGCAATATTTATTTTAATTTTCGCCTGACTCCATTGTTCGTTCTTCCTCACGACGCATGACTTTCTTTTGTTTGTTTGTACCCTTATCCTTTAAAATTAGGTTCTCAGGTTTTGCCTCAAAGAAGTTAGTTTCCTCCAAATGAAATGAGAAGTAAAGCCTTTTCATAGTGATTACATTCATTAATCTTGACTTTTAACATTAATAAGTCCTTACAGGTATTTTAAAATTTGTTTATTTAAGGTGTGAATTTAAAACTTCAGTAATGGAGTTAGCCCACAGTTTATTGCTGAATGAGGAAGCACTGGCTCAAATCACTGAACCAAAGAGACCAGTTTTTATCTTTGAATGGTTGCGATTTCTTGATAAAGTCTTGGTTGCTGCCAACAAGGTATGGTATTGATTTTTTTCTAGTTGGGTTAACGTTATATAGAGTATTATGTGTTTACGATTTATAAGAAAACACATTATGTTTTGGAAACGTTGTGGGTCACTTATGGAACCTGAGAATATTGTGCTGTAATAAGAATTTCTTACCTGTCCTTTTTCTATCCTGTGGCAAAACTCACACCCCGTTTAAGTGTGAGTGGAGAAAAACATGACTGTCACTTTAAATTCATTATCTTCAACATCAAGTGGTCCCTCAGTGCTGTGTAGCAGTCCCAATATCTCCACTTACCTCTCTGAAGAGTTAATACCAGGCTTTTTTCTTTAAGTCTTTTCACCTAAGTTACTTTTCATTATTTATGCGTTTTATTTTCTGTCTTTAAAATTAGATGCTTTCCTCAAGTTAACATTAAATTTCCTGCTCAAATCTGAGAGTGCGTAGTAAAAAGTTTTCTGGGTAAGGGGAGCTTGTCTATGCTTCGCTGTAGACTAATCCAGTTCTTTGAGGAACCCCTTTTAGATTTCTCTTGACTAGTCATTCCCCAGAAGAGATTTTTATACTCTAGTGTCTTAGCGATATACGACTAGCTGCCTAAGTTCAAGGATTTGAGGGAGAAGGCTGGAGACTTCAACATTCAGTGTGTAAACTTTTACTCAATCTCCCTGTTTTTAGTGCGGTTTTCCCAGCCCACAGCTGTGCCTGAGTTCACGAAGTCCAGAGTGGAGGAGAGAGATAAGGAATCTTACAGCTTCTTAAACTTAAGAAAAGTCTTAAAGCTTCTTCTCAAGCATTCCTTCCATTTCTAGGCACAACTTGACTCTCTCCACTGTAAGCATTTAGGGCCTCAAAGCAGCAACAACAACAAACATGAGCTTTTAGGGGGTTCTGTGTTGGAAGTTGCATCTCTGCTGAGCTTTCTGTATTGGGAATACCTGGCTTCTATATTTTGCACTGATTCTTTTTTATTTTGCACTGATTCTTTTTGAATTTTCTTTGCCCTTGTGTATTTGTGCATTTGTTTTGGTTGCCCTTTAGTATACTTTTAGTTTCTAGAGAGACAGAGTCAGTGCATGGATTTATTTACAGTTTTTAACTGAAAGTTTCTATCTTCTCTTAAACCCATTCCAGCTGAGTATTTGTTGCCTCCATTCCACTGAAACAGATCTTGTATTGCCCAAACCAATGGTCAGTATTCTGTCTTAATTGACCCTTCAGCAGCTTTTGACATAACTGATCCTCTATCTTGAAGCATTTGAAATATTTTTGATTTTGTGGTGAAACAGAGAAAGACAAGAGAGTATATAGAAAGTATATCCAAATTATGAAGCACAATAATATGAACATCTGTATACCCTCCCCACCCAAATTAAACACATTGTTATTACTGTTAATGCACAGTTGGTGTGACGTTTTTCCTATTTGTGGTTCCCAACACACTATTTGCTTCCAGTCCTTCTCTTACTTCACTAGATCTCCACATTCTCTCTTGCTGGGTGTCTCTCAGTCCTAGGCACTCTTTTTTTTTTTTTTTTAATACATCTTATTCCTTCAGTGATACCATCTAATCTCATGATTTTTACTACCATCTGTAGAGTGATGACTCCCAGATATCCACCTACTTACTCCACCTCTTTCTCTTGGTTATCTAAATGATATCCCCAAATTAGTGTATTTAAAACCCAATTCTTGATTTCACCCTCCCAAACCTGTCCTTTCCCTAGTGCTTTCTCTCTCAGAAAGTGACCATTTCATCCTTCTGGTTGCTCAGATCGTAAACTGTAAAATCATTCTTCACGTCCCCCTTTTTCTCTAGCTAAACATCGTATTTATCAGTAAATGATATTGGTTCTACCCCCTAAATATATCCAGAACTCAGTTACTTCTCATTATCTCTGTTGTTCCACCCTCATCTCTCATTATATTATTGCCACAGCTTCTTATGTGCTCACCATGTTTCCAGCCATGTACCTTGTAGAGTATCCTTAGCTCAGTAGGCAGAGTGAGACTTTTAAAACATTTAAAATAGAAAAACATAAAAAAGGAAGGACATGTTCCTCCTTTGCTGCAAACTCTCACTCAGAATAAAATATGAAGTCCTTACAATGGTGTGTAAGACCTGCAAGACCTGGTCCCTGCTACCATTCTGACTTCATCTCCTGCTACTTCCTCTGTCTTACTCTGCTCCAGCCACACTGGCTTCTTGCTGTCCTCAGGAATGTCAAGCATGCTCCCACCTCAAGGCCTTTGCACTTGTTTCCTGCCCGAAATGTTCTCCCAGATATCTGTATAACTCACATCTTTACTTCTTTGCTTACTAATCCATATAAAACAGTAAGAACCCACACTATTCATTTGTTTATTTGGTAAACCCTTTTTCTCTCCACTAGAATGTAAACTTTATGAGGGCAGAGACCTTGTCTATTGAGTTCACTCTAGTGCCTGGAATTGTGCATGGTACGTTAAGTGCACAATAAGTATTTCATGAATGAATGAATGAATTCTCAGTATTGATTATGAATACATCTGAATATTTTTTTCTGTTGCCTAGAGCTCTTCAGAGTCTCTTGGTTTCCTTTACTGACTTACAACTTTATGAGCTACTGACTTTGCCTTTATAGAGGAGCCTGTGTCTGGGTTCTAAGACATCAATTGTCCATACACTCAATATTTTACATCCTTTGACTATTGGTTTCTTTCTTAGTAAGTTGGTGTGGAAATTTTTTGGATCTAGAGTGGTCAGTTTTAATGGTAGCTAACTTTGTGGAACTGGAGGGGGATGAAGGAGAATAATCCAAGAAAGAATGATTGATTTCTTACTGAACTCTTCTTTATCTTGAAAATTCTTTTTTATGGTTTTATGCCTAATGTAATATAGATTTTAATGATTAGAGTGCATTAACTGTTAAGTATTTTTTAATTCTGACTGAAAGGTAACAAAAGTATATATATGTAAGAAACTGATGATGTTCTTTATCTTTTTCTAACAGACTGATGTAAAGGAAAAACAGAAAAAGCTTGTTGAACAATTGACTGGATTAATAAGTAGTTCACCTGGACCACCTACACGAAAATTGTTAGCTAAAAATCTTGCAGCCCTTTATAGCATTGGAGATACTTTCACTGTTTTTCAAACACTTGATAAATGTAATGACATTATCAGAAATAAAGATGACACTGCAGCCTACTTACCAACAAAACTGTGAGTACTTACTTTGAGATTAACCCTTGAAATTTGTTTGTTTTTTCAAAGTATCTTATGTTTTCAGAAAAAATTATTTATTTAGTTTAAACAAAGCTCAGGATTTTTGAGGGGGAGGGGGAGGTAATTAGGTTTATTTATTTGTTTGTTTGTTTTAATAGAGGTACTGGGGATTGAACCCAGGACCTTGTGCATTCTAAGCATGCACTGTACCACTGAGCTATACCCTTCCCACCCCGAGTAAATTTATCTTAATAAGGGACTGCTGATCCTCAGGTAGGTGGAACCTGAGGCATGCTGGTGACAGTAAAAGCTCCAAGTAGGTCTGGGCAAAGGGTTCTGTTTCAACATACGCTCCATTGCCACTGGAACTTTCAGCAAACTACAGAGAACTGGTTATGTTGTCAGCAATTTGCACAGGAGTTTTTGGTAATTTTGGGTGAAGATAGTATTCTTGGCTGGGATAGAAAGAAAAATAAAGAATTTCTAGGTGATAAGATTGACACAGGAATGGGTAAATTTGGCCCACAGGCCAAATCCAGCTTACCACTTCTTTTATAAATAAAGTTTTATTAGAATACAGACATGCTCCTTCATTTAAGTGGTAGCTGTTTTCTCACCCCAAAATGGCAGAGTTGAGTACCTAAGACAGACCATTTTGCCTCCAAGTTTGCTGACCCCCTCGTTAAAGGGCGTAACTGAACTCCAGGCT